AGAAAAACTATGGTGATGTTTACAGATGGATGTACTATCAACATTATATACAGGTTGTATTAGCTATGAACAGTGATTTACAATAGATGAATATATGTACAGGTTACTATTAATAATCAGTAGTGCAGATAAATTAACATGATTACAAATGTATATGTGCAGTGGGTGTGTACATAATTACAAATGTCCATGTAAGTAAGTCAGTGTAATGTAGTGCAATGAATATGTGCACATTTTAAAATGTGCAAATGTTAAACAGTGCAGTTATTGTGAGGAGTTTAAGTTAGTGGTGAGTGGGGGGTGTATTGGGGGCAAAAGAGTCAGTGAGAGGAAGAGTTTAAGAGGGAGACAGCTCTGGGGAAAAAGCTGTTCCTCAGTCTGCTGGTTTTTGTCTGGGGGAGCCTGAATTGCCTGCCGGAAGGCAGAAGTGAAAACAGTCTATGACTGGGGTGAAAGGTTTCCTTCAGAATACTGCTTGCTCGGTACAGACAGTGTTTTCTCTGGATGTCCTCAATGGCTGGCACTGGCAGTGTGGTCCCTGTGATACGTTGGGCAGGTTTCACCACCCGCTGCAGTGCCTTACGCTCAGCAACAGAGCAGCTTCCATACCAGACTGTGACGCAGTTGGTCAGGATACTTTCTATTGTGCAGCGGTTGAAGTTCACCAAGACGGCTGATGAAAGCTGGTTCTTCTTAAGTTGCCTTAAGAAGAATAGGCGCTGGTGAGCCTTCTTGATCAGGCTGGAGGTGTTGGTCGTCCAGGAAAGGTCCTTTGAGATGTACGTCCCCAGGAACTTGAAGGATGAGATGTATTAATATGAACCCTTTAGGTACAAATGTGCAACTTTTAAAAAGGAGCCACCCCAGTGACATCTCACGTACCAGTGTTAATTTGACAGCAAATGTTGGTTTAGTTTTAGTCTTAGTTTTTTAGCTAAAATTGTTTACTAAAATGTTTTAGTCATATTTTAGTCTTCTGAACCATTTTAGTTTAAATCGACTAAATTTCATAAGATTTTAGTCGACTGAATTTACTCTACTCTTATGTAATGTAATGTGTATTTATATAGCGCATTTATTGTGTATGGCCATACACCCAAAGCGCTTCACAATCATAAGAGGGGGTCTCTCCACACCACCATCAGTGTGCAGCATCCACTTGGATGATGCGACGGCAGCCACAGGACAACAACGCCAGTGCGCTCACCACACACCAGCTATTAGTGGAGTGAAGAGACAGTGATACAGTCAATTCAGTAAATGGGGATGATTGGGAGGCCATGATCGTAAGGGCCGATTAAGGGACTTTGGCCAGGACACTGGTTTTACAAGCTTATTCTTTACGAGAAGTGCCATGGAAGTTTAATGACCACAGAGAGTCAAGACCTCGGTGTAACATCTCATCCGAACTAATGTATAGCGCCATCTTGCTGACAACTTAGTTATGACATGTGGTTCTCCTTAACTTTAAGTTACGTCTCTAACATACTACAAGTTATGCCCTTCAGCCTTTTTGGTAGATTGGCTTTAATAAAAGCTGTTTTTTTTAACTAACAGGACAGTTTAGAGTTCAGTTTTTCTCTTGACAAGAGAGAAAACTTAAGAAATACTGTACACACTTAAATCCAAACTACATGCATACAACATTGCTGAAATGTCACCTTTTACACAAGATAATAACATAATTTTGTATGTTAATAACATTTTCTTGAAGGAAAATTACAGGGCGGTTCTCATAAATTAAATACATTTTTCCTGTTTAATTACTAATCTAAATAATATTAGATCCTTAACACTTTCAAAATAGTCTTTAAAATACCCCAAGTATCATAAAAATATGTTTGATTTTAGATAGAAAACCTAATTTATATATATTTTTGAATTCTGCAGAAAGTTTTTGTAGTACAATGACCTCTTATATGTTGAAAGATAGACAATTTAGATTTCTCAGTTCATCAAAGGGCTCTATGAAACATGTTGTGTTGTTTCTCTTGAAGCCAAGGTGTAAGAGATTGGAAATCTCAGACACATGGCCAAGCTTTTTTTTCCCACATGCTGCTGTATTTATAGTTACTATATGAATTGTTGCTATAGCTACTGCTGTAGACCTCAGAGTCGCTCACTTTAAATACAAACAGGCATTTTAGAAAGATGCCACATTGGTTTGAGCCCATTAGTGAACAAGAACAAAATGTGTGCCCACATCAGACAAGCAATAAAATGTTGGATCTAATTTCAAACAGCTGGCCAGCCAGACATTTAATTGAAACACAAATGCCTTCAAAAACCACATCAAGAGTGAAATTGATTTGAATAATTATTAAATAGATACAGTGTTTACAAAAATAAAGCCATCTGCTTTCTGATGACATAAAGTGGAGTCCAAATATCACAGAACACTGATGATGCAAATTGTGTCACACTAAGACGTTTTGTTTTTGACCTTTCCAGTTTTAGAAAAATCTTTATAATACAGGTCTGCTTTGTGTGGTTTGACCTTTTAATGTGGTATAGTGGTCTGGTATAATCTCTTAATCTTGATTTTGGGTGGAACATCATTGGTTATTGCATGCCCGTTTACCAAATGTCCACACAAACGCAGCACACTTTGAAAAAGGTTCTTAAAGGAGGTTTTCACAGTGAAGCCATACAAAAGATGTTTAGTTCCTTACATAATCTTGATAAACAGTAGTTCTTAAAATAACAATTTTTCTTAATGTGTGAAGAATGTTCAGAATGAAATGTACAGATTTGTCTTTTCTGCAATGGAAAGTTTTCATGAATGTTAAATACTGTTTATGGAAATAACAATGGCAATAAAAATATTACATGTAATTTGCTATACAGTAGATGTTTGTTTACTTATTGAACTTTAAGCGCTGCATGGTAAAAAAAATCCATATCATTTTCTTATTTTGTGTTTTTGATCAGTGCTTTCTATTTATTTATGGTTATGAATTGCATTATGGGATGTTGATCTCTGCTCTGTCCACTTTTGATGTTGAACAATTTGATTTTGCATTCTCAAAAGGGGACTTATTGACATTTTAGTAGTTTAAAACTATACGTTTTTTAAAAAGATGATAAATACATTTTAAAATATAATATATATTAAAGTTCATTGGGCAGCACGGTGGCGTAGTAGCCTAACAGCAAGAAAGTAGCTTGTTCGAGCCCCGGCTGGGTCAGTTGGCGTTTCTGAGTGTAGTGTGCATGTTCATGTGGGTTTTCTCCAGGTGCTCTGGTTTCCCTCACAGTCCAAAGACATGCGGTATAGGTGAATTGAATAAACTGAATTGTCTGTAGTTAAGTTGGCGGTTCATTGCGCTGTGGCAACCCTTAATTAATAAAGGGACTAAACCGAGAAGAAAATGAATGAATGAATAAATAAAAGTTCATTCATTCATTTTTCTTCGACTTAGTCTCTTTATTCATCAGGGGTCGCCACAGCGGAATGAACCGTCAGAACACCAGCCACCTTCTTGCTATGAGCAACAGTGCTAACCACTGAGCCCCTATATAAATGTTTACACCAGCAATCCATCACTTCATACTATTAAAAATATCAATTAAAGTCCCTGTTTCAAACTTTTCAACATCAAAAGTTGATAGAGGAAAGTTCCACAATGCAATTCAAGAGCATAAATAAACAGGGGAAAAACAATAATAAAAAAAAAACGTAAATCTCTTAATTTATGGATAATTTACCATACATGTATAAAAGTAAGAATTCAATATTTTTGGCATTCCAGATGACACGGATGATTCTGTTACAAGTTTTTCTGAAACAACCGTTTTAAAGGTGCAGTATGTAAGTTTGACACCCAGTGGTTGAACTAGGTATTGTGTGTGTTTTGATCCAGGTGTGCAAGCGCAGGTTGCCAGACTGATGAAATTGACAGGAGTGAGCCTGACTATCGAGCCTAAAGGCTGATTTAAGTCGTGTTCTAAATTAAAGCAACAGCACGCAATAGAAGAAATATTTTTTTTACATTAAAAGAAGGTTTTTCTTCTAATCAACACCTGAAATGTATATTTTAGAAACGGCTTCTATTTCTTAAAGCTGAACAACAGAAAACTGACAATGATCACCTCAGGTACACCTCATGTGCTCTATTCAGTGTTAAATGCTAATTATGTGAGTTTGACTGCCATTTTACATCACATTTATTGCCATACTACTGAAAACAGCAGCAGATAGTAGTACTTAGATTATAAACCTTACCATTTTGTTGGAGTGCAGTGAGTGCACTATTCTTTACTTCTGAATGGCTGTATTTACATTTCTGTCATGTTTCGTCTGGTGCAAACAGCTGAATTGCTCATACTCCTCGTGCAGCATGTTGTTTAGACACAGGGTTACAATGTAACTTACTCACCTAATGTTTATGTTCATATTTCTATTATTTGCTAATTAATAACCACCTCATCTGGAATCTGCGTCTCATTTCGGAAGCTGTTACTGTTCACCAGAGTTCACGTTTCGGTCATGGGCACATGCTTTGATAGCCTTCCTGACTGAATGAATGAAATATTCCAACAAGGCAACCCAGGGTGCTGAAATATATTTGGCTAAACTGCCATTGGGCGGGTTAAATGACCAAAACAAAGAGCTGTTCTAGCACGTAATGAACATTTTCAAAGCAGAATATCTGATTTCAGCATTGTTTTTCAGATAAACAAGAATGTTCACTTAGCATTTCTTAAAAATCAGCAAATGTATTATGGTGTATTTATGCTTTAGAAGAGTCAAGAACTTACATACAGCACCTTTAAACAATGTGTAACATGGGAGGCATTTGAATACTGACTGTTGGCTGCTAAAAAATGAGTAAATAGTGCTGCCAAATTAGAAATGTGATGTGTTTCTTTACCCAGGGTTAAAAATAAGGTATTTAATAACGATAATGATGGTAATGAAGGTAATGTAACATTAAACGAAAGCCATTCAGAGTCTCGAATCGAATGTCATGATGATGTCATGTATGATTTTTGTACAGGTGCGTCTGGTGATCAACGAGAAAGGGCTTTTGTGTGAAGAGCGGGACGTCAGTCTGCCTCTCACTGAGCAAAAGGAGCCTTGGTTCATGAGGCTTAATCTAGGAGAGGAAGTGCCAGTGTTCATCCACGGAGACACCATCGTCAGTGACTACAACCAAATCATAGACTATATAGAGACCAACTTTGTAGGAGGTAAGACTGACCGCAATCACACTACTTACCTTTAAAGACAAAAATGATACGAGGCAGCTGCGGTGGCTAAAGGTGAGCCAGTGTTGTGGCGGCTTGGTGGCTCAGTGGTTAGTCGCCTCACTACAGGAAGGTCGCTAGTTCGAGTCCTTGCTGGGCTATTTGGCATTTCTCTGTGGAGTTTGCATGTTTTCCCTGTGTTGGCGTGGGTTTCCTCTGGTCGCTTCAGTTTCCCACCATAGGCCAAACACATGCGCTATAGGTGGATTGAATAAACTAAATTGGTTGTAGTGTATTAGTTTTTGTGTGTGATTGAGAGAGTGTAGGGGTGTTTCCCAGCTCTAGGTTGCAGCTGGAAGGACATCCACTGTGAAAAACATATGTTGGATAAGTTGGCGGTTTATTCCGCTGTGGCAACCCCTGTTTAATAAAGCAACTAAGCTAAAATGAATGAATGTATGAATAATTATAATCATGCAAAAACACAATTGTGTCAGCCTAATGAATTTACCATATTAAATCTACCACATTAAAATCCTTTAAAATCGACACATTTTTTTTAAGTGACAGATATTTTAAAGTGATATAAGTAGATGGTGGGGAAATGCACATTTTCTCTATTTACTGTAAATCTAGGTTAGAAAAACAAAAACTCAAATAATTGTTTCTCTAAAGGCCTTTTATCCTAACAACACAGTTTTAGTTGTCATATTCTGTCTAAGAAGGTTAACTATAACTACAGTTGTTTCCCTCTAGGCCTGTATAAGCAGCACAAATGGTAAATCTCTATAAACGCTCTGCGCTATAGTTTCTCTCACAGACTTGTCATTTCAAATGTCTTCACACACAGTTTGAGTGTGGGAGTGTTCTCACTGATCCAGGATCACTCGCTCAAGTGAACAGAGCTGAGCGTTTTTATTCATTGTCTTCATCAGATCTGAACAGACTGATTCAGATTTTTTTTTTACTTACTTGTTTGTTGTTTGTTTGTACTTAATTACAAATTGTTAAAGTGACTAAAATTTAATAATTTAATCGTTGCTAAATGCTGTGGGCTAAAAAAATCGGCCCTTTTGAAACATATTTTGTGTTATGTATATATTTTGCTACTTTTACCCATACGTTTGTTTTATTTTTTGTTGATGCCATTCAATCTGGCTTTACATAAATGGGAGATTTCAACGAAATCTCATGGCAATTTGTAACTTTTTGATTAAGTGGCAAATTCGTATGATTTCATACGATCTAATTCGTACAATTTAGCACGATTTGCTCATCACCCAGTGACAGTTGGGGATAGGGGTGGGGTTGGGTGCCTAGCCTCCTTTTTAAAATCGTACATATTCGTACGAGTGAACTCGAACAAATTCATACGAATTAACCACTAAACTGTCAAAACGTAAAATACTTATGTTTCCTCGTGAGATCAGGCTGGGGTTTTGTGATAATGTCCTAGAGAATGAATGAAGAAAATAGTTGTTCATACTGTACGTGATGTGCTGGATCATGTCTCACAGGCCAATGCAATTTACAATTGCTGTACACAGCTTTAATTTATAATGAAGTCAGGCAAATGGACGGTGATGCTGCTGAGAGTCAGTGCAGATTTTTATGTTGTGTGTGTGTGTGTGTGTTTTGATGGAGTAGAATATTTCAGTTGTTTGTGTGATGTAAGAGAACAGAGGTATTTTGATCCAGTGTTGGGTGAAGCGATCAGCAGTAGAATTAAAAAATGTAATTAAATTTATTCTTATTTTTATGTAATGAAATTAGATTATTTTTATCATTGGATAAAAAAAGAATAAAAATTTTATTTCTTCTTATTATTTTTTATCTACTCTGCATGCATACTGTTTTGCAAACAAGAATATGAAATATTAATAAAATGAATATTTTATCAAAAAAAAAAAAAAAAAACACTTAAATTGTAGCAAGTTTATTCACATCTACATTGAACAAAATGGACGCAGAAATAATTTTCATTCTTCAATAGGGAATATGCCGAAGCATGCTAATAGGACTTTTAATTTGCCAGTAACCTGGGTTAAGCGCTTCCGCTGAACTGTATGCCAATGCAAAAATCTGCCCGTTTAAGGTCAGTTCTCTTTAAAAATCAACGATCTCCACTGGCTGAGTGATATCTGATATAAAGTGGGTCTCATTGTACAAGAAGCACTGCATTAAATTACCATTTCCCCCGCCATGTCTTTGTAATATGAGCATTTATTTTACCCCAGTATATTCAATAGAGTGTGGGTAAAAGGCCTTTTGTCTCATTTTATGCTTGAGCAACTAAATTAACGCCAAAGTTTATTTAACTGAATGTATTTTAATTACATTACAACATCGATGCTGAAAAGGGAACACAAGGAAAATGGAAAAAAATTTCCAATAACAGGTCACCGGAAGTTTATCAGTATGAGAACAACACTAGCTCGGCATATGTCCATAGTTTATTTTCATTTTATTTTAAATAAAAAAAAAACTAAAAATAATAATAAAAAATAAATATTATATATATATATATATATATATATATATATATAATTTTTTATAACTGAAGAATTAAATACAACAATAAAAATATGTAAAAATTAGAATCGAAATTAAATGCATCAAATAGTCAAAAAGTGCAACACTACCTCTATTTAATAATAATAATAATAATAATAATAATAATAATAATAATAATAATAATAATAATAATAATAACAAGAACAATAATAATAATAATAACAATAATAATAATTAGGGATGTCCAGATCCTGATCTGATCGGAAATTGGGCCCGATCATGCGTTTTCAGACTCGATTGGAATCGGACATTACCTCCCGATCTGGACTTGAACATATGTGTATATACACATGGCACAGTGTTTGACCTCTTTCTTGACTTCACACAGAAACAGCGACATGTGAGGCATGACATCACCACACCAGGCAGGATATATGATCATATCGAAAGAATTGCATATAAATATATTTATGTATAGAATACTTACCATCTATCTGTGTGTGTATTTTTTTTCCAGACACAGTAGCCCAGCTAATTCCAGATGAAGGCACTCCCATGTATGCAAGAGTCCAGCAGTACCGAGAGCTGCTGGATGGACTGCCCATGGATGCTTACACACATGGATGCATTCTTCATCCTGAACTCACAACCGACTCCATGATCCCAAAGTACGCCACTGCTGAAATACGTAGTAAGTGATACTACAATATAGCGCACCAATAATCCTTGAGTAAAGAGACCATTTATAAGTTTCTGTGTGGAGTTGGTATGTTCTCCGTGTGTTGGCGTGGCTTTCCTCCTAATGCTCCAGTCTCCGCCACAGTCTAAAGACATGCAGTATAGGTGAATTGAATAAACTAAATTGACCACAGTGTGTGTGTGTATGTGTGTATGTGTGTGTGTGTGTGTGTGTGTGTGTGTGTGTGTGTGTGTGTGTGTGTGTGCGTGCGTGCGTGCGTGCGTGCGTGCGTGTGTGTGTGTATGTGTGTATGTGTGTGTGTGTTTGTATGTGTGTGTGTGTGTGTGTGCGTGCGTGTGTGTGTGTGTGTGTGTGTGTGTTTGTGTGTGTGTGTGTGAGTGTGTGTGTGGTCGTTTGCCAGTACTGGGTTGCAGCTGGAATGGTAAAACATTTGCTGGAATAGTTGGCGGTTCATTCCGCTGTGGTGACCCCTGATAAATAAAGGGACTAAGCCAAAGGAAAATGAATCATCGTATATTTCAAACCTGTGGGAAGTCAGTGATAACGTTTGGTTAACTACAACATCCAATGCATCACGTGAACTAACCCTTTAGGAGTGTAAGAAATCAAAATCTCCTTGCAAAACCTGCTCGGTATTTATTTCTCAAATTTCATGCAAATTGCTGTCTCGCATGTTGGCTGTGGATTGGCATGGCTTACTCAAACTCAAGTGCTCTAACGCTGGCCTATTTATTCAGAGTTCATTGATATTGGATCTGCTGTAAACCCGCATTGCTCACCTATTACGTAACAAGCCAGTACAATGTAAATCAAGCCAAAGAGTTGATCCCGCCAATGTATTGCAGCAAAGTAAATCACGTAAAGTCATGGAAACCCGGCATAATTGCAAATAAATCTCTTTTATGGGTCATAACTTGGAGGGAGCCCTTACGATAGGTGTTGTTTATCACAGTCACTGCTTTGATTTTATGTGTAAAGTCTTATTAAATCCCTTAATTAGTTGTCAGGAGCCTTAAAACTGTGCAGAAAATAGTGCCAGTTCACTGTGGGCCGCCTGACAAAATTAACTATACATAACTCACGGAGAAGGAACTCCTATAAAACCTGGATGACTGCGCCGATTTCTAGGGGTTTACAACATAAATGTGTATCCAGATAAAAGCCTGATGCAGACAATTTGCTTTGATTTCTCTCAGGACATTTGGCCAATGCAGCGTCTGAACTGATGAAGTTGGACCACGAGGAGCCTCAGCTGACAGAACCATACCTCTCCAAGCAGAAAAAGCTCATGGTAAGCCAGCAGTTTTATTGCATACATGATATATATCAGACTTTGGAGGGATCTTATAGCCTTTACTCTCCGGCCACTATTAGATATGCCAAGTTAAAGGCTCGTTGGAAATTATCTGCTTCAGTCTACATTTTTGTTAAAGCTCAAAAACGTATTTCAACATGGGATTGACTGCAGTTTCTTGGTAAAATGAACATTAGGGGGCAGTATGGCACCAACCACTTTTATTCCTTTTCACACTAATGATATCTACATATTTACTTATGACATATTATTAATAGGGATGTAACGGTATTGTAAATACCGTCATACCGCAATAGAAATTTTTTTCGATATTACCGTAGTCGCATGACTTGATAAAACTATAGGTCTTCTGAGAAAATTTGCTCAGGCGAATGAAGCGAACGGGAGGAAGCAGAAACTACAATTCCCATCAGCCCAGGCATGGCCATCATCCTTTGCGGTCTGTTGTCGCTACAGATCCAGTAATAAGGAAATGGAGTGTGCTCCTAGTAGTGGGGATGAAAAAGAGCTGGAAATGATCGAACCTAAAGCGGGTGTTGTTGCCGCGCGCGTACTGATAGCGGTGTTGTCGCGCGCGTTCTGATCAGCTGTGTTGTCGCGCGCGTTCTGATCAGCTGTGTTGTCGCGCGCGTACTGTAAAGCGGGGAGGGGGGGTTGAGCGCGCATACTCAAGAGCGGTGTTGTCGCGCGTCTACTGAAAGGCGGGATGGAGGGTGTGTGGCGTCGTGGGGGCACTTTCGATCATTTTGGAAGGGCATTTTCTATCCAAGACTAAAAAGGGTTGAGCCCTATGTGTGCACTTGCCTGCAAGTTGGGGAATACGACTAATAACAGTCATGGGGACTGCAGAAACACAGCACACTGTTCAGATTGATGCAGCCATTGACTTGTACCGCAAAGAGACCTCTATCTCACTCATGGCTTGTCCTTCAAGTGGGGGAAAGACAATGCACAACGTCAACCACTGCTGTCAACCTGGGCCAAGTCATATCTCTGTCCCAGAAACCTCAGTCCCAAATGAGAGGGTTTTTTTCTGTTGCAGGGGACATTGTAAATACCCAGAGATACCAGCTTTTACCAGATTATATTTATATGATAATTTTCCTTTAAACCCATCTCTATCTAAGTGAGTGAGTGATTAAATGTTGAATGTGATGAGTTTTCAACAATACTAAATTGAAACTTTATTTTTTTACATGGTTTAATAAATTTTTGTTATTAAAATTGAAGTTCCTGTTTCAAAGCTTACAGATAGATGGCTAATTTGTATGTCATTGACACTTTTGGCACTTTTTTGGAGTATTTTTAGAAGTATTTTTTGTAGTTTTGTTTTTCCTGTAAATGATTCAATAAATACCGTACCGTGACATTCATTCCAAAGTATTACCGTACCGTGAAATTCTGATACCATTACATCCCTAATTATTAATGATTAAAAGATTATTTTCATGCAGTTATTTGTACAACACCCAATAAATACCACAAAACAACTTAATGATGTCTATGATTTCTAATCAAATTAGTTTTTTATCTCCATAGACAACTTTTCTGCTGTTGTCAGCTTTCTCAGTTGCTCACTTAGTACAGCGTTGGGCTTTGGATGTGTTTGGTTTTGAGTAGAGTGAAGCATGGTTCCACAAAACAGGTAAAAGCAATGTAAAACCATGTGGCCGCAAAGTTTGCTTTTTAAAAACCTATTGGTTGGTTTTAAGGTACAGTTTAGGTCATTTTTGCAAGGTGATCTATACAGCAAACCTCGCCTTCTCACGGACCTGTACAAGAAGGACGTGTCGATGATGTGTTTAACAAAACACAGCCTGAGTAACACACAAAAATATAGATACCTCCCTCTAATGGATTTGTTGGCTGAAACTTCCAATGAAATGTAACCGGAGCAATGTATTTTACATTTTGTGAAAATGTAGCTTGAGTCACCTATTTTCAATGAGCCTGTGTTTTGTTTTGTTTTTTCCAGTACAGGTTCAGTTTAGATTTAAAAATTAGCTTGAAACAATCCTCAAAGATTTTGTTTCCATACTGACATGACAACATCACGTAAGATGCAGACTTGAAGCTTGTACATGTGCTCTGCTGGTTTGAGATTTTGTGACTGGTGACCTTCATGAAACCAGTCTGAGATGATTTGAGCTTATTGTCAGCAACAATACTGATCTGGTTCAGTTTAATTCATCTTTATTTCTATAGGGCTTTTGCAATGTAGAATGTGTCAGAGCAGCTTAACATTGCTGAAGGCTCTTGCAAAATTATCCCCATGCAACATATGACAGCTTTGTGGTCCATGCTCTCATATATAATGTGTTTCTAAAGAAAAAATAGACATGCTTGTAGTTTGTTTACTGAAGAACTGTTCACATGGGATTAATACCACAATCTATAACAACCTCAAGATTCTGAGCCAGTGTTTCTCTACTGGTGGGTCGTGACCCAAAAGTGGGTCACGGGAACATTTTCAGTGGGTCGCGGTGTGTCTAATCAAAAAAACAACAAAAAATAAATGTTTTACTTATTTTGCTTATATCAGACTTTTAATTTGAAATGCATGTGCGACAACTGAACTTTTCCTTACCCTAACCACTGTTTACAGTATTTGACGTTTTTACTCTGTAATATTAGTATAATTTTATACATTTTGTTAAATGACAGCAATAAAGTATTGTTTATTTGTAAGCCTTGGTAATTTTCTTATGATTCATCTGTCAGTACTTGTGTATGTTAACAAATAAATACAAATTAATTATAATTCCTAAAATGATATTATAGTTCCTAAAAATTTGGGTCACGGATTGATGACTAAGTACAAATGTGGGTCCCATGGCCAAACTAGTTGAGAACCCCTGCTCTTGGCTATATGTGTATGAAATATACCAAAAATGCCTCAGTTCTGCATAACAAGGTTGCATCTTGTGATATTTTATTTCATTTTTTTTAGTTACTATTGCATTTTTAATTGCTCAAACTAGCCTCTTTATTCTCCTCAAACCTTTGGCATCAAAAATGCATTGACATCCACAGAACTACACCTGTTTTCTGTTTTGGACCATTATTTTTGTAAACCTAGTAGAAATGATAGTAGATCATCAGTTTCTGGAGTACTCAGATCAGCCAATCTGGCACTGACATTCAAGCCATGTAACAAGTCATCATGTTCTTCCTCCTCCTGATATTTGGCTTCATCTTGACCATCTGCCTGATATTTGTATGAGCAGTTGATCTGATGTGGCTGTGTATATGGTATATGGGCTGAAATATAGGAGAACATATCTTAAAATGAAGATAAAAGCCTGTATTGAATGTTTACATGTTGTAGGCAAAGATCTTGGACCACGATAATGTGAACTACCTGAAAAAAATTCTTGGAGAGTTGGCGATGGTACTAGACCAAGTAGAGGCAGAGCTGGAAAAAAGAAAACTGGAATATCAAGGTATGTTCTCTGCCTTTTTTTCTTTTAAACCATTTTTAAAAATCATAATTAAATAATAATGAAATATCCCTAACAAAATAGAATATAAGAAACTCATTTAAAATTATTTTAATAAAGAAACATGAATTAAAGAAACATAAATGTCAATAAATCAAATACAATAATCTTTAGTAACCATATATTTAACTTTATTAAAACAAAGCAACATTAATAAAAAATATTTATAATATATAGTTATTTTATTTATGGGTGTTTTTATTATTATTATTATTATTGTAATATATATTTTTTCATTCTTCAATTTGTGTAAAAAGTTGTGTACTTTTTACATGTGAGTTTATATATTTATATAAACCTTGTGAAAGTAGAATTATTTGTATAGGTGCATTTTATGAATCCTTAAAATCACAAGGACTTTTTAAAATTTACAATAGCTTCATAAATGAAGGACTTCTTTGCTTCTTTCATTTTATGCGTGCTTATAGTATCAATATATTGTGTTGTTCTCTTTAGATTATGTGTGTGTCTGTGTGTGTGCGTATGTGAATAATTCAAGTTTTATCATATCTACATACAACTAATTTTAAAGACCTTTTTGGTCTAAAAATTTTGTATATGACCAATAATGATAAAATCTTAAGAATATTGACTTGTTTTTAGTCACGTAATTCCTGTAAATCATAACAACTCATGTCTGTATGTAAGCATGCATTTATTTATTCGTTAATCATTAAGTTGCAACATAGTGAAAACGTACGCTCATTCTGAAAATGTGCCCCTATATACATTTCTGGAGACAGTGAATTATGTAACCTTTAAAACGAATGCTAATGGGTGGTACGACTCTGTTCCTTTTCTCGCTTACCAGCTGACCGCTTACTAGGGCTGGGCGTTATGGGCAAAAAAACATATCTCTTTATTTCTAGGGGGAATGACGGTAAACCATATATAACCATTTATTGAAACTTTTATTAAACAGTTTTTGAGCAAAATATAATTTAAACACAGGGGTTTCCCTCCCTGTTATTATCATCATTATAATTCTCATTCTTATATTGTCATTTGTTGAAAGAGTAGCTAACAGCGAGATATTAAAAAAGAAAAATAAAATGTTTGGTAGACAGAACATTTTAATAATCATTTAAATCTCCAACCGTTTGTACACTGGGCACACACACAAATCCAATCACGTCTTCTAGTTAAGGGGATAAACTAAAAAAATCTATTAAACAGAATAAATAAATGCAATAATTAGAATATTATCATAATTGAAGTCAATATGCAATAACAAACCAGAACGCAGAGCAAAATAACAAACCAGAACGCGGAGCTAAATGTGTTGTAATATAAATATAAAGAGACCGTCGTGTACTAATACTGAACTTATAATCAGTGAATATGAGGTGGTTTCACTTTTAAAATGTGGTATAAATTCCTCCCATTTTGGCATTTTAATCCTTTTGAACACATTCAGGTGCTGCCAGTCAATTTGACAAAGATTCTATGTTTGTTCTGGCTGTCAATTGCGGAAATGCTTTCCTAATGATAAAAGGTTTCTGCTAAACCGATGTGACAGCTGCAGGCGCTGTGTGATGTGCGTGCACATGATGGGGAAATTTTTTCCGGGGAGTCAGATTTTGGTACAACAACGGCACTGCATGTTTCTCCATGTCGCGTGTAGTGATGGGTCATTCTTGAACGATTCGTTTATTTTGAACAAATCTTTTGTATGACTCAGGGAGTGAATCATTCATTTGCGAATGCAAAGCTCGCGTGCTACCTTGGAGTGTTCTGTTTCACGCAGAATGTGCTTGTGTGGCCTCAAACCATATCGCGTTGGGGAATCATATCGATATATCCCCAGAACTCGATATACCGCCCAGTCCTACTGCTTACCTTTGTATGGACGGCTTTTCCGCTGTTACCAGTTTGCCTGGTAGCTCACCTTGTACGTTGGTGGAGTTGAGTTGACTCAGAGAGAAGCTGAGCCAACAAACAGAAGCCAAAAAACTAAATAATCAAGTAAATAACAGATTTAGAATGTGGTAACATCTGAAAATGTAGTAAAAAATCCGGCGAGGGCTTTTCTTTTTCTGGATTGCTTTTTAAAACACTGCAATTGGGGTCAGGGAAGTGGGTGGGCGGGTCAATCTGTGCTTTTTAAAACCTTATTGGTTGGGTTTAGGGAAGGGGGAGTGTGAGTCAGTCAGTTAGCCAGTCAGTCAGTCGACAACAGCCTCTTGTGGATTTATGCAAGAAGAGCAGGTGCGAAATTTGAGATATTAAAAAGTGTACATAGCGGCCTCTGGTGGATTCGCAAAAATAAAAACAACAATAACAAAAAACCTTCTGGCGTTCTCCAGAAATGTATATAGCTTTACGTTTTTAGAATAAGCCTGTACCTTTAGGAGCCACTGTATATGATTTAGCTTTTTCAAGAGCATCTACAGGCTGTCTTTTCTTCCTGCGCAGGTCAAAAGTGTGAATTATGGCTTTGTGGACCTACTTTTACACTAGCTGATATTTGTCTTGGAGCCACGTTGCACAGGCTCAAGTTCTTGGGACTCTCGAGGAAATATTGGGAGGATGGGAGCCGGCCAAACCTGCAGTCGTTTTTTGAGCGGGTGCAGAAGCGTTACGCCTTCCGCAAGGTATTGGGGGACATCCACACCACCCTGCTTTCGGCAGTTCTACCCAATGCTTTCCGAATGGTAAAAAAGAAGCCGCCATCCTTTTTCGGGGCATCCTTCCTAATGGGCTCTCTCGGAGGGATGGGCTATTTTGCCTATTGGTTTTTAAAAAAGAAATACATGTAGTGAATGTGCTCTTCTAGTGTTTTGTGTCTGTGTATCTGTGTGATGGTCGAACATTTTGGGTTACACTGTTTTACGAGAGCAGGAGCAACGAGACAAATATACAGAGATTAACACTATTACTTACCTGGGTGAACAATTAAATAAATATATAATGAGAACATTCCAAGACTAGGAATTCTTCTTAACAGCACCTTCTCTGGTAATGAATGCCTTCATTTATTTTCCTGTTTATGATTTACTGGTATATTTTTTTCATTTTGTGCTTGAATAGAGCACAAGTATGTTTTTTCGTTCTCTCCAGATTATAAACACTGCACATTCTGCCATTTACTGGTTGTTTTGATTATATAGATTATATAGCACAATGGCCAAGTAAACTTGAAGTAAGTTATGACTTTAAATCCCAAAATAATGTTTGTTAAAGTACACTAAATTCGTACACATCTATCTTTTGTACTATCTGCCACTGACTGCTTTCCACACAACAAAAACCTTATTCTGCCTAAAATATCTGGATATTCTTAAAATATGATTAATATACACAAGAAGCAACACTTCATGCGATTCATTCATTATCCTTCAGCTTAGTTTCTGATTTATCAGAGGTCGCCACTTCGGAATGAACCGCCCACTTTATGAGATAATATGTATTGTGTTCATTCCATCTCATATATTGCCTGCACAAAAATATATACAGTTGAAGTCAGAATTATTTTCCCTCATGAGTTTTTAGCCCCCCTGTTTTCTTTTTTTCCCTGATTTCTGTTTAACGGAAAGATTTTTTCAACACATTTCTAAACATAATAGTTTTAATAACTCATTTATAATAACTGATTTATTTTATCTTTGCCATGATGACAGTCAATAATATTTAACTAGATATTTTCAAGACACTTCTATACAGCTTAAAGTGACATTTAAAGGCTTAACTAGGTTAATTAGGTTAACTTGGCAAGTCATTGTATATCAGTGGTTTGTTCTGTAGACAATCGGGAAAAAATAGCTTAATGGGGCTAATAATTTTGACCTTAAAATGGATTTTAAATAAAGTTAAACTGCTTTTATTTTAGCCGAAATAAAGCAAATAAGAGTTTCTCCAGAAGAAAAAATATTATCAGACATAGTGTGAAAATTTCCTTTCTCTGTCAAACATCATTTGGGAAATATTTAAAAAAGAGAAAAATTCAAAGGGGGCTAATAATTCTGACTTTAACTGTATATATATTTGGCTGTTCGGTTACATGGTAATGCCATATGGGGGTCATAGTCGGGGGTAATAATCATCTTGCTTGTAAATAGTGCAAGACAATTATACTTTTTATTCAATTCATTTTCCTTCGGCTTAGCGTCTGATTTATCTGAGGTCACCACAGCGGAGTAAACTACCAACTATTCCAGCATATGTTTTACGCAGTGAATGCCCTTCCAGCCGCAAACCAATTCTGGGAAACATCCATACAGTCATTCACACACATACACTCCGGCCAATGTAGTGTATTCAATTCACCTATAGCGCACGTCTTTGGACTGTTGGGAAAACCGGAGCACCCAGAGGAAACCCATGCCAACACAGGGAGAACATGCAAACTCAGAACACAGAAATGCCAACTGGCCCAGTCGGGGGTCCAACCAGCGACTTTTTTGACCACTGAGCAACCAAGCCGCCCAATTATACTTTTTTATATAGATGTAAACCTCAAAAGCACGGTGGTGCAGTGGGTAGCGCTGTCGCCTCACAGCATGAAGGTCACTGGATTGAGTTATGGCTAGGTCAGTTGTCATTTTTGTTTGGAGTTTGCATGTTGTGGGTTTCCTCTGGGTAATCCGGTTTCCCCAAAAAAGTCTAAAGACATGCGGTATAGGTGAGTTGGGTCGGCTAAATTGTGTGTGAATGAGTACAGTATGTATGTTTGCGAATTTGTTTGCAAATGCAAACTTCATGGTAGGAGAGGATTTAAATAAATCATGCTAATGAGTTTCACTTGCAGTAGTCAGTTTGGTATTTACTGGTATACTATTATTTAACCTCCCTCTAAATAAGCTTTGTTATCTCATGTGTTGCTTCTCAAGTGATTATATCTTGTTTCAAGAAGTTCTAGATTTTGAATCAGAAAATAAGATATGCTTTTTTACAATACATTTTTGCTGTGCGAACCCTTTGCACTTAAACCATTTTAGGAAACTCAAAATTAAGAAACTATTCTGCAAAATCTAGCATTGAGTCATTCACATTTTAGTGTAAATCACATGTGAAACACTGCTACTTTGCAGAACGTAACACAATGTAAGCATGACTATTTTCTGAACTGTTTCACTGTAAAAATATCCGTAAGATAGCAGTTTTCTGTATTTTGTTATTCATGTTTTTATCTTTTTTTCCTGTTTATTTATGTTTTTGATCTGCATTATGGGATCTTGATCTTTCTTTCAGCATCTTTTAACATTGAAAAGTTTGAAAAAGTGACTTTTATTAACGATTTTAATAGTTTAAAGTGATATATAGTCTGGGTTGATGTTATATTACGGTACAAAAAACCTGATAATAAACTGCCAGTACATTTTCTCTTATTTTACACACTTATTTCTCTCTATATTACTTATTATACATTATACTATTCCAAACAGAACAATAAAAGTCAGTTTGTTAAATTGTAGAGTTGAATTTTCAACATCAAAATTCGGCAGAGCAGAGATTGAGGACGAAACCTGCAGGGGGGAGAGAAAGCAACTTTGAGTTTAGAATTTTCTTATTCCCCAACATTCATGTAATTTATTTATCACCCCGCACTGTTAATTATTTATGGTTAATTAGGAAATGTTTGGATATATATATATATATATATATATATATATATATATATATATTATTCATGCATGGATTTATTTACTATTTATTTGCATATTTATTTATTTTATTGCTTTATTTATGCATGGATTTTTGGATTTATTTACTCATTTATTTATTTATTTGCATATTTATTTTATTGTTTTATTTATGCATGGATTTATGGATTTATTTACTATTTATTTGCATATTTATTTATTTTATTGCTTTATTTATGCATGGATTTATTTACTCATTTATTTATTTGCATATTTATTTATTTTATTGCTTTATTTGTGCATGGGTTTATGGATTTATTTACTCTATTTGTGTATTTATGCATAGATTTATTTACTCATTTATTTATTTGCGTATTTATTTATTGTTTTTTTTATGCATGGATTTATTTACTCAGTTATTTATTTGCATGCTTATTTATTGTTTAATTTATGCATAGATTTATTTACTCATTTATTTGCATATTTTATGTATTTGCATATTTATTTTATTGTTCTATTTATACATTTATTTATTTGCTTATTTATTTTATAGTTTTATTTATGCATGGATTTATGGATTTATTTACTTTATTTAGTAACAAAATTATTTTTATTATTGTTTTATTTATGCATGGATTTATTTACTCTATTTATTAGCGTATTTATTTATTAATTTTTTTTGTTTATACTGTACATGGATTTATTTACTCCTTTATTTATTTATTTATTAGCGTATTTATTTATTTTATTATTTTATTATTTTATTTACGCTTGGATTTATGAATTTATTTACTCATTTATTTATTTGCATATTTATTTATTTATTGTTTTTGCAGGTTTCGTCCTCCATAGAGCAGAAATCAACATCCCATAATGCAATTTACAATCGTAAATAAACAGAAAACACCACCAAATATGGAAACTGTTCATTAATGGATATCTTTTACAATGTGCATTTGGTAGGAAAAATCAATGTCAGCAAACATTCCACAAACATAAGATTTCAGAAAGTTTGACCAAAACTGCATAAACAGACAACACTAAAGGGAACAAAATGTGTTCCTCATATAAGACTGCCAACCTGAGCATTTTCTTTATTATATTATTAAACTTTTAATTATCACTAGTACATGTCCTTGTAAGTCTGCTGAGCCACCACATGAGCAAAATTTATTTCTTCAAACGGGTTTGAGATAGAAATGTGAAGCACCAGTTGTGGGTGTAAGAGATACTGGGACATTTGAAATGAAGACAAACGAATAAAAATCAAATGCCCATTACAACTTTCTTTCTTTGCATGCCACTCTTTAATGCAATGGTTTTATAACCAAAGACAGTGATTGTTTTTTTTCTTTCCTCACTTTATAGGTTTTGGTAAAGAAAAGCTAAATTTGACTTAACAAAAACTGTGATGCACCATTAATGTTGAGGATATTACTTAAATATGTAACTTATGAGTTCTATACCACCTCACACAAGCCATATACAACTGTGCAGATGCGTTTATTTTATGTACTGCTGTTAGTCGTTTTCAATACTATAACAAAAATGTATTTTATAGCATAAGAGATTGACATCCGAAGGCCTCTCTCTCTCTCTCTCAAATTCCATATAGAAATCCACTCATTGGGAATGTTTGTTACGAGCTGCGATAAGTGGAGACCCCCTACTCTAAAATGGAATGACTGGAAATGAACTGAACACATTGAGAAATGTTACACTGATGTCTGTGGTCATTAGACTTCACAACAGATTTATTTTGTAATTTTTATTTTTATATTTTTCAAATATGCATTTATTTACAGTGCTTTCTAAGATGTTTGTTCATGAGCCTTAATTTGTTCAGTTGCCATCTATTTCAATAAATGAAAATGCTTACCTTAACCTGTCCGTATGGTCTGTGTGCAGCATGAGATGGATGTAAAAACTGTCTTATTGCATTTATTACTAATGCATAGCCTATTGTTTTAATAATCACACTGTGCTTTAATTGTAGCTCAAACAGTAGCCACAGTTCAATACATACTGTATAGGGAATCTACTCCAGGGTATCGGCTTGGTGTTAAAATAAATGTTTGCATCAGTAATCAAAATATTTGTCTTAATCTAAATAGGATAATACAATGATTAAGGTGTTTACATTAGTTGTGTTTTGAATGTTCCTTTCATGATTCTGTTTTACATGTTATAGCACAGTTTGATTTATGTCATTGCTTCACCACACTATCCAACATTTCCTCTGGAGTTTCATGTAATCTCAAGTGTTTTATTTTTAATTTGTCGACTTTAACTGCAGTTTGCCACTTTTTTACTTTCATTCAGGAGCATTTCATGCATGCCCCCCCCAAGTCAAAACAAGATATTGGATGAGAGTATGAACTGCTAGAAGAGTGTAGTTTTAATGGAATTTTATACCGCACGCCGTATGGATAAAAAAAAAACCCTACGCATTTCACAATGTGTGTTTGTGATCCCTCACCGGCTCACTGACTTGTTGAACATATCGCGCCCCAATTTAATTCCTAAACACATTTTAGAAATACATCCGATTTTGAGTTTATTGGTTCTATTAACATTCGCATTTACCCATAAATACAATTGTTTAACCAAGACAGAATGCATGAGGAAAGAAACAAAGTATATAAAACCACAGTCCACAATCTCTGTTTGTTTTGATGTATTGTACTCTTTTTTTTTCTTTTTTCTTTTATGTACTTCATAGGGACGCCGTTGAAAATGAGATGTTTCATCTCAAAGGTCTATCCCAGTGTTTCCCAACCCTGTTCCTGGAAGCAACCCAACAGTTCATATTTTGGCTGTCTGCCTTATCTGACCCATTCATTTCAGGTTTTCTTCTAATGTTCTGATGAGTTGATTCAGGTGTGTTTGAATAGGAAGAGGTTGAAAATGTCTTGGTGTGCCTTCAGGAACAGGGTTGGGAAACACTGATCTATCCTATTGAATAGATTCACTTCAACAGTCCATATATAATCCACTGTCCAACTCAGATTTCTCCTTCCAGTTTGGGGCCCTCTAATCTCAGGTCGGCATCATTCCTGCCCACAGTGAAAAGGCTGATAACGGCGAGCAGAGCGGCCAGCATCATCCCAGCACAGCCTGCAAACATGTGCCTGGTGCCGCTGCCAGCCTCTCCCGCACCGGACCCTGAAACCTCCCCGTGAAGCGCCAGCAGCCCCAGACAGGCCAGGAGGTGCAGAGGCAAACGAAACCAAGCCAAAACTGCAGCTCTGCGCTCCACGGGAACCACACGACCCTGGAGGAAACTCACCGCTGGGAAATAAAGCCCACAAGCCAGCTCCAGCAGAAGGAAAGCGAGCAGAGATTCCCTGGGCCGGGGCTGGCCAGGCACGGTGGAGAACGTCAGCATGAAGAAGGAGAAGAACGCTAGAAGAATGGCTAGGCAGAGCAGATGACCGGGTTGGAGTCGATACGGGGCTGATGTGGCCAATCGGAAAAGTGTGGAGCCCGCCATGGTGGCCGCCATCAAACTGGAGAATACGATTCCTAAAGGTGGGCCATGAGGATCCAAAACAGGAGTCCACAGGAATACAAAAATATACAGCACGCTTTCAAAAAGTGCCTGAACGCCTCCTAAAAGCATAACACGGCGGTCCGAGAGCAGGCATCGAAGGCCATCCACACAGCTACGCCAGAAACGGGCACGTGCTGACAATTGCAACTTGGGGGTGTTTAGGGAGTTAAGAAGGGGGGCGTTTTTGTCTCCATTCATGCCTTCTTGTTTGTCCTCCTGACCCCATTCGGAAAGCACAAACCAGGCGCAAGCAGCAAGGCTCGGGATAGCCAACAGAAATGGAGCGACCGGTCCCAACCCAAGCCATTCTGCGAACAAATTCGCCACTAGTCCAGCACCAACTGCAAGTCCATAATTCCAATTGGCGACTTTACCAAACGTAACAGGGATCCATTCTTTGGGGAAGTCATGGATGTCAACGTGACCGTGCACATACCAGGCCTCAAAGGTGGTTGTTAGCAGAGAAGTGGACAGGCCGCCTAATACACGTCCTAGAATGAGCATAAAATAGTCTTGTGAGAGTTTGGTGATGCAACACACTGAATAAGCCAAGCAGAAGAGGAGGCACGTCTGTCTTCGGCCGAGAAACTGTGGCAGCCATCCGGCCACCGGGGCAAACAGCACACAAGAAGCCAGACCGCAGACGTATAGGATGGCAATCTGTGACTCCAAGAAGTTGTAATGTCGGTATAGTTTGTAAAGGTAAGGCCCTTGTAGCCAGTCTGCCCAGAGAGCCAGGAGATACGCCTTCAGAAAGAGCTTCTGGAAACGCTGGAAAGCCGGATTGGCGACTGCTGTCTGTGTGGCCTGGGATAAGGTGAGACGCCGGGCTGTGATCTCTAAAGCCACACACAGTCCTGCTAGGACTATAAATGCTAGGTATGCCGTCACAAACATGATGGGCACAAATCTGTCTGAAGGTGAGTGGAGGAATCAGAAGAAATCCTAGATCAACATCCTCCTACAGCTTTTGGGGCATTGAAATTAATGGTTCATCTGCAAAATAACAAAATTAGCAAAATTATTACATATAAGAAAATAATGGCTAAAAATGTCAAAATATTTTGAATAAAAGTAATGTTTTACAAAAAGTGATCATACATCATCACGTGACACATGACTGTTGGATAAACTCACTTCTGGACTCATCATGAGCAACTGTCAGCTTGACTTCTGAAAAAAAGACACATTGTAATTATCAACACCTCATATACTGTATGTATTGCGCCCATAAATTATGGGTTTAATAATAACGCTTTAAAAACATTAATGATTTTTAAATGGAACTTGACTTTAAGCTTCAAACATTCGTGATTATAATGCGTGGATAAACTCTTAAACACACCTACCGTACTCTTAACATTTTTCTAAGGAATTTAGAAACTGTCCGCTGATTTGGGATTATTAAATACCTTTTCTACGCCATGAATTCAGACGCTTTTTTCATCTAAATGCCTGCAATATATGTTCTACAACATCCGCGTGTGTTTCCGGGTTACTCAGGCGTCATGACGCAAAACAAACGTAAGGCGCTTGCCTTATTAATATTAATTACGTATACAAGGTGGGGCTCGCTGATTGGCTATGCAACAGAAGAAAAGACGTTTTTTTTATCAGGGATTGGTATATATATATATATATATATATATATATATATATATATATATATATATATATATATATGGAACAGTATTAATATTAATTAGGGCATGTATTTATTATTGTTATTTATTTGTTATGCTTTAAACGACAGATACAAGATAACAGAATAACAGAACAAACAAAATACAATTAATGGGAAATTTAATAAATAATATAAATAATTATCTTCATCTTCCAGCCGCAACCGTATCTGATCTAGCAACAAACAAGACTAAGAAATACCAACAATAGACATTAAATATTCGATTATACACCAAACAAAATGTTACTAAAATCCCAAACGTCTAAAATAATCTATTTTAATGTTTTTATCATCGTCAACCATTTGGAAATATTTTGCTATCTTTATAAATAAAGTTTTTTCGAAATATATCGACCAGACAGCAACTATGTTAGCATAAAGATGAATGTGGAGAATGAGATGTCACTGATGAAAACTAAAATTCAGGTAAGGGTTTTTAAAATATTTAGATTTTGATTTGACAAATCATTAAAAAACAAGTGTGGAAATATTGTCAATTGTGAACGTTAAACGATACATCGTACATCTGCTGGCTATAAGATTAGCCTTAGCAATTATCTGACATTACCGTTTTTTTCCAAACATGTTGAACATCTATCTTTAGTCTATCGGACACTAACATCTCAGATGAAATGACACCGTGGAGCAAGTAAGTGAACGTTGTTAATGAAGATTAAAGTAAAATACATCTGATACATTGCTTGATCTTGTTAGCTGACGCAAAAAGTGTAGGAAGCCGAGAAAAGAGACTTCTCAAACAAGAAGTGCACTGACACTAAATTCAAAATCCTGTGTTGACTTCGTTTATTTTACTACCGTGAGTGTCCACGCGATGTCACCACACCACCGTAACTAGCTAGCTGGGTTAGACGGATCACATTTTTGATGACTCCCATATTAACAACTGCACCACAGCTGTGCAATAAGGAATCACTAAAATATTATTGCTTCTACAAATAGAGCATAAAAAGTACAATTGTTTAAGCTGCATGGTTCATTTTTAGCTGAATCTGCTTGTCAATAAAGAATAAACAGCATCTTGCCAGTGTACTAAATAAAAGTCGATTCTGTTTGACTGACAGTTTCAGGCCACTTACAATTATTTCTACATGATTCTGAAGCTCCTGACATAAAGTCTGCATGGAAATACATGACAAGCTAAATGGTTTGTCCACTTAAATTATCTTTAGAGAGCATAAAGCATGCATTGATTGTTGGAACATATTCAATATACAGTTCATTCGGAACGTATTCATAGCGCTATTCTACATTTTTTTATGTTACAGCCTTATTCCAAAATGGATTAAATTCATTTATTTCCTCAAAATTCTCCACACAATACCCCATAATGACAATGTGACAAAAGACTTTTTGAAATTGTTGCAAATTTATGAAAAATAAAAAACCTGAAAAATCACATGTACAGAAGTATTCACAGCCTTAGCTCAATACTTTGTTGATGCACCTTTGGCAGCAATTACAGCCTCAAGTCTTTTTGATAGGATGCCACAAGCTTTGCACACTTGTCTTTGGAAATGTTTGCCCATTCCTCTAATCAGTTCCTCTCAAGCTCTATCAGGTTGGATGGGAAGTGACGGTGTACAGCCATTTTTAGATCTCTCCAGGGTTGTTCAATAGGATTTAGGTCTGTGCTCTGGCTGGGCCACTCAAGGACATTTACTGAGTTGTTGTGAAGCCACTCCATTGATATTTCGGAGGTGTGCTTTGGGTCATTGTCCTGCTGGAAGATGATCCGTCACCCCAGTCTGAGGTCAAGAGCACTCTGAAGCAGGTTTTTATTCAGGGTGTCTGTGTACATTGCTGCATTCATCTTTCCCTCTATCCTGACTAGCCTTCCAGTTCCTGCTGCTGAAAAACATCCCAACAGCATGATGCTGCCACCACCATGCTTCACTGTAGGGATGGTATTGCCTGGTTTTCTCCAAACGTAACGCCTGGCATTCACTCCAAAGAGTTTTAATGTTAGTCTCATCAGACCAAAGAGTTTTGTGTCTTATGTAGGGCTGTTCGATTATGGAAAAAATCATAATCACGATTATTTTGGTCATAATTGTAATCACGATTATTCAAAACGATTATTAGTTGATGTCAAAATTGTTCTCCCTTCTGTGAATTTATTTTTATAAATAAATAATTCCCAAATTATGTTTAACAGAGGAATTTTTTTACAGTATTTCCTATGATATTTTTTCTTCTGGAGAAAGGCTTATTTGTTTTATTTCAGCTAGAATAAAATCAGGTTTAAATATTTTGAAACCTATTTTGTTCGATATTATTAGCCCTCTTAAGCAATATATATTTTTGATTGTTTGCAGAAGAAACTACTGTTATACAGTGACTTGCCTAATTACACTAATTAAGCCTTTGAATGTCACTTTAAGCTCAATACTAGTATCTTGAAAAATATCTAGTAAAATATAATGTACTGTCATCATAGCAAAGATAAAAGAAATGAGTTAATAAATCTGTTATGTTTAAACTGTGCTTTAAGCATCTTCACTGTAAGAAAAAAAAACTTCAGCTACAAAAGTCCTGCAGTCAATAGCAGTGAGTGATTATGTCTTTTTGTTGTTTGATTAATATTATAGACTGTCAGCAGCAGGAATATTGCGCACTGTCACTTTAAGAATAGTGCGACTCTGTTATGGTTTCTCTTTCACGTCTTATGATTCTCAACATGTTTGTTTATTAAACAAATGAGGGTTAATATGAATAATTACTAAACATCGGGCTCTGACACAAATGTGCATGTATTTGAACATTAAAGCGCTCACATTAAGATGGCGTTAGATACACACACACACACACACACACACACACACACACACACACACACACACACACACACACACACACACAGACACACACACACACAGACAGACACACACAGACACACACACACACTACATGTCCAAGGCTAAGCGCGGCGCGCACACACACAACAGCACATGCTCTTTCGCGCTTTTAATAATATGAATGATGCGCATCACGTGCTGCAAAAGTTACAGTACAGCACATGCTTTTAGTCATTTTCACGTCGAACTGCGCTTTGCAGAGCAACAAATGTGTACAACTGGAAAGGGGGCGGTATATGATGCAATAATCGTTTATCTCGATTAATGGTTCTTTATAGTCGTTAGCCAAAATCGAAATCGAAACCGGATTTTTGATTAAATGCACAGCCCTAGTCTCATGGTCTGAGAGTCCTTCAGATGCCTTTTGGAAAATTCGAAGCGGGAGTGGCTTCAGTCTGGCCACTCTACCATACAGGCCTGATTGGTGGATTGCTGCACAGATGGTTGTCCTTCTGGAAGGTTTTCCTCTCTCCACAGAAGAACACTGGAGCTCAGACAGCGTGACCATCGGGTTATTGATCACCTCCTTGACTAATGCCCTTCTGATCACTCAGCTTAGATGGCCGGCCAGCTCAAGGAAGAGTTCTGGTGGTTCCAAACATCTTCCACTTATGGATGATGGAGGCCACTGTGCTCATTGGAACTTTCAAAGCAGCATAAATTTTCCTACAACCTTTCCAAGCCCTGTGCCTGGAGACAATCCTGTCTCAGAGATCTACAGACAATTCCTTTGTCTTCATGCTTGGTTTGTGCTTTGACATGCACTGTCAACCCTGGAGCCTTACTGTATATAGACAAGCGTACGCCTTTTCAAATCATGTCTAATCAACTGAATTTACCACAGGTGAACTTCAGTTAAGCTACTGGAACATCTCAAGAATGATCAGTGGAAACAGAATGTACCTGAGCTCAATTTAGAGCCTCATGGCAAAGGCTGTGAATACTGATGTACATGTGATTTTTCAGGTTTTTTATTTTGAATTAATTTGCAACAATTTAAAAAAAATCTTTTTTCACATTGTCATTATGGGGTATTGTGTGTAGTATTTTCAGGAAATAAATGAATTTAATCAATTTTGGAATAAGGCTGTAACATTAAAAATGTAGAAAAAGTGAAGCACTATCAATACTTTCTGGATGCACTGTACATAAATATGACTATTTTTCATAAAAATCCTATGCATGCACACACACACACACACACACACACACACACACACACACACACACACACACACACACACACACACACACACACACACACACACAAACACACACAAAGCAAAACAGAAACCAGACATCATCAGAATAGATAATCTTGTATTTTTATATTTTCTACGGAACAAAACAATTTACAAAATATACATTACCATATGATTCAATAACATAACTTCATAGCCAACCATAATAGCAAACTCGATGGATTCATCAAATCAACCACATGGCAGTCCAAAAATGCCTTATCGACATGCTTTGTGATCTTAGTAAAGGCTGTAAAGATACTGTGCTGGTGTCCAGGGGCTCTTTCTCACAACACACAACTCATCAGTCCATTGCTTACAAGGCACCAAACGCCCCGTTTCAGTCACACACAAAACACACATCATTGCATATCCCTCTTTTCTCCGAGCAGGCAGTTCAATCAGTGTAACTGTGCAATATTTACAGTAAGAAAACCACAAAACATAGCATGCGTAGTAGGAGAGAATGCTGGTTTCGTATCCCTAGATTCAGATATAGTCGTAAAGGAAGTATACTGTATTCGGCTTGACGATGATAATAGAAATAAGCAAAACAACAAATATGATGAGTTGTATCTAATCTCCCAAGTGAAATGACATTTATTTTTTTAAGAACTTAAATAATCGTTAGAGCTGTGGTAGATGCAGTCTTGTGGAGTTAAATGTTAACACAGCAACACAGGTGACGATTGTATTCTTTATCATTTAAATGTGACCGTATAAGTGATAACTATGGCTTATGTACATGGAATTTTCGTCCCTTTCTCGAGCACACAGGCTCATGCAATTGGCTTTTTAATGGTCCCTAAAAATACCTTTCTATTGTATACATGATGCACTCGACTAATGACTGTGTGCTTTGCAGGCAGTACCAGAGGAATGACCCGTTTTTTTTTTTTTTTTGGTCTTTAAAAGTTGCAGTAAGCTTATTTATGATGATATGACTGGCAAAACTTATCCTCAGATAAATATAATCTCGAGGCAAACATAAGAGCAATGCATGTGTGAAAATGATCCATGAAAGCTTAAATGTCTCGTTTAGAGCGTGCTGAGAGCATCTGTTCATTGTGTTCCTCATTAACACGCATCGTAATGTCTGGTTCCTAAGGGAACCTGCTCAACATCTCCCTGTAAACGAGCAGTCTTTCTGGGAAGGGTTTTCTCTGAATGGCTTGTTGTGGCCTTTGGGTGGTTTCTGGCTGTTGGGACTGATAGTTTATGGGTCAATGCGGAAGGCCAGCAGCTTGTCGGAGTGGAGGTTGTTGAGGGTGCGCAGGTCTGGGAGGCGCAGGAGAAGTTTAGAAAAGAGCGAGTTGTCGTCGGGGTGTCGACGGTTGATTAAAGTGCGCAGAGCTCGGATGAGTCCTTCCTGGAGCTGTTCAACCGCCAACATATCCGAAATGCCAGAGCAATCTGTGGATAGACACAAAAGTGTTTATAGTAATAATAATGAAATAAATGTAAGTTGAAGCATATTTTGGGTCATCTTGTTATTGTTATATGTAAAGGCCTGACACGATATCTATTTTGTTTTTTTTACGATATATTGCACCAAAATATAGTGATGAACAATATTGTTGTCATTTTAAGACCATTTTAAGCCACTCATTATATAATGCCAGAATGAAAATATAATATCATCACAGTGCAAGTACAATTTAATAATTAGACACTGGAATCTGAATGTGAAATCATATATTCTAAATAAATAATAAGTGCTAACAAAAGTGCAAGGTAAAAAGTAACAGAAACTGTGATATCTGCTACCAGATCTTTTTTCAGTTGTCAGACACCCCCATGAATATATACTACAGTAGTTTATAGTAAATAGTAGTAGGTAGTAGGAGTAAGTGTTTTTTAATCATACTGACTCTCACACCTATAATAGAGATAGAGAGGCTAAAATGTAGCCAGAATTGTTTGTTTATGTATGGGCGATCATATATTGCATCACCAAGAATGATTGAGGTCATGTCCATGTGTTGTGCGATAAGATGATTTATTGATTATTGTGACAACTCTAGATATGTATTGATTTATTTACTTGTGTTTTAATTGATAGATTTTAAATTAAAATCTTTTTTTTTCTGTTTGATTTAACTTTTATTTAAATCAATTGTTTTAATTTTAGTTGAAATGTATTAATTTGAAATTATATATATATATATATATATATATATACATACATACATACAGACAGTTGAATTCTTTTTTTATTAGCCCCCTTATAAATTATTATTAGCCCCGCTTTCAATTTGTTTCCTTTTTTTTTATTTTTCCCAAATGATGTTTAACAGAGCAAGGAAATTTTCACAGTATGTCTGATAATATTTTTTCTTCGAGAGAAAGTCTTATTTGTTTTATTTCAGCTAGAATAAAAGCAGTTTTTTTAAACAAAATTAATTAATTCTAAAAATTATTAGCCCCTTTAAGCAATATTTTTTATAGTCTACAGAACAATCATCGTTATATAATAACTTGCCTAATTAACCTAACCTGCATAGTTAACCTAATTAACCTAGTTAAGCCTTAAAATGTCATTTTAAGCTGTATAGAAGTGTCTTGAAAAATGTCTATGCAAATATTTACTGTCATCACGACAAAGATAAAATAAATCAGTTATTAGGAATTAGTTATTTAAACTATTATGTTTAGAAATGTGCTGAAAAAAATCGTCTCTCCATTAAACAGATATTACACAAATTGGGGAAACAATTTTATTTTTTTTTCTCCATACAATAAAAGTATGTGGGATTTGTTCATTTTGGTTTGGATCATGTAGATAAATCAAAAAATTTTGTAAAAATGTTTGTTTTATTTAAATTATAAAAACAAAATGATATGCAGTTTATCAGAACAAAGGTGTCAAAACTTACTTTCATACAAAGGGCCGAAAAACATACTTGGATGAGGCCTGTTAGACTAAAAAGACATTGAAATATACCAAATGGTATTGTATTGTATTATAAAGGTTGCAATTATTTCCCTCATATATTTTAAATTCTTTAAATTTAATAAATTAATAGAAAACACCCTGTAATATTGAAGTAATTAAATTTATATTACATTTAATTACATTTAGCGTTTTAGTAGCTCAAACTGAAAGCGTAAGTGTGTCAAATTGTTAAATTAGAAATATAGAAACATTTACTTCTTTTTTTGTTTTTGCGGTTTGGTATTGTGGGCCAAATTAAAGTCCATCATGGACCAACTTTGGCCCACACCCCCTATTTTTCACATTTCTGTTCCATTATATACCATAAAATAACTTGCCTGTCAATATCTAAAAGAACTTTAATCCTACATTAACATGCATCTCTAATACAAATAAATTATTTCAAGGTCAAAGCTTTGTTCGAATCCTCAACACCAAGTATGAGTAGCAATAACAGCGATGTTTAATCTGACCCTGGTGTTGCTCTTACCTGCAGAAACCAGCACCACAGCCATAAAGAGAGCCATCTCATCTGACTCCAGGCCCAGAGAGCTCAGCTTGGAACTGAACTCAAACATGGCGTCCAGCAGTGAGCCCATGCCCAGACCCCTGAGGGTGCCCAGCGGGTACGTCTGCCCATTGAGGAAAGTCACAGATCTTTCCTTGTGGTTGAACAGTGAGCAAAACCTCACCATAAGCACCTGCAAAAGACAACAGGATATGATGAAGGTTAAAAAGTGAACCCAGGTGAGGCACGTTTTGTTTTTAACTCTGAAAAATCTTGATTAAATCTATATAAATACAACAAGTTAGCCATTTGTAGGTTGACGTCCCTGAGAGTGTAAACACTGGGTTTTATCTGCGCATTACTGAGTTTGTTTTAAACGATCTGACATGTCAGCCTTGGGTTAAATCAATAGGGTGAGTTTGAATTAGGAGGAATTGGGAAATCTGTTTGATTTTGCGCTGCTTTAATAGTAGTAATAAAATGAGGGTTGTGTAATCAGTACCTGGAAAGTGCCCGCTTTGAGCAACATGACTTGATCGTGTTGGCAGAGCTCTTGGAAGCCTGGAATGCCCTTCGCAAACTCCACCACTTCACGTACAGCCGGTGTGAAGCACTGTGAGAAAGACTCCCACACCTGCTGACTGGAAACACCAGGAGCTGACACAGGGCAGGCGTTCAGTGGACAGGCCTATGAGAGAGACAGCAGATCATATCTTTATTAGATTTGATTAGATATCACACTTCATTTATCTATGTATTTGATCTTAAAAGTATTATAAATGCTGCATTATACATCATATTTAGATATAAAATGCTGGATTATATGTTATTTGGATTATATAATCTTATTCTAAAAATAAATATCTGTCTTTTGATTAGGTTGCATTTTTAAAATACTATTATCAGACTATTATTGCTATTCAGTTATTTTTAATTCACAGATTTTAGTGTTTTTCAACACAACAACAATAAAAAAGAAATACGCAAAATAAGCATGATAATACACAGAACATAATGGTAATAATAATAAAAAATAAAAAGAAAATAGCTAAGTAATAATAAAAAAAATATTATTAAAAAAAAACAATTAGGGCAAATGAACGGTTTTAATGAAAATGCAAATCGGCAGTCAATAGGGGTAGTAAGCATGTAGTGAGAGTCCTTATTATATTGGTCCAGGTGTTCAAGAAATGTTAGCCATGTATTGTAAAACTTTTCAAAATTATCATTAACTCCATAATAGACTCTTTCCATGTGCAATATTTCAGTGAGATAAGTTAACCATGTCTTAAATTGAGGAATACAATCTGATTTCCACAGATTAAAGAGTTTGGTTGTTTATATATTTTTAAAACGATTATTTTTATATTTAATTGATTTAATATCCTCCGATTTTTAGCAAATCATTGAGTCTATTTAATTGTGTAAATATGTGTAAATTTATATTGATTCCGTTTTTAAATTAATTTTAGTAATATTTTTGACTAATCTAAAAATGTTTATTTGATTTTTTTACAATACAGTTTGTAAAGTCATATTTTCTGTCTTTTAGTAGATATATAATAACAGACTTGCTTTATTTACCAAATAAGTGGATCTAATAGGATTTCCATTGTAAACATAAAATAAAAATGTATTTCTGCAATTCTGTGTAGTAATAGCAAAAAAAATGTCTGTCTGGCCCTAGTCAAAAGTGTCAAAAATTTGTATGGTTTCCATTAATATATGGTTTCTTATGATAGGACAATATTTGGCCCAGATACATCTGTTTGAATGTTGTTAATCTGAGGGTTTTCAAAAATCAAAATATTGAGAACATCCATTTTAAAGTTGTCAAATTTAAGTACTTTGCAAACATATTAGTAATCATTGATTAGGTTTTGATATGTTTTCAAAAAGAAATGTATGAAATGTCTTCATGAAAGATAACTTACTTAATATTCTAATGATGATCAAAAACAATTGATAATTTTGACTATATTTTAGTCTATAATTTAGAATATTTTTAAGCTATTCCCACAGATATGTAGCACAACATAAGACTGGTTTTTTGGCCCAGAGTCACAAATATAAACTTTAACTAACTGAATATAAGTTTATAGGAAAACACAATCTAATAAAAAACACACAAAGCAAACATTTAACTTAATAAAATGAAAAGAGGCTGGAAATCTAATAAAAACTGCTAAAATTCAAACTCAAACTGAGTTACTTAAAGTAATTCAAAAGCAGTAAGAATATATTACCTATAATGTGTAATCTAATAGAATGTCATTTGAATTAAGCAATAGGCTACTACATGTTCTAAATCATCCACTTAGCATTGTTTGTATCTCAAAACATTGCTTACCAGCACTTTGGAGCCAGCAGCCAGCTTGAACGGACACGAGGCTGGGCTTTGGGATTGGCTGGCTGTGTAGCTGCTGTAATGGGCCTGAGTGGGTTGTGAGGGCTGGTTAACACTGGACTGGGAGTGATTTTGGCTGAATGAAGGAGCATAGCTGTACCGATTGTTGTCCACTAACGACACCGGGCATTTGCTCTCACTGGTGGAAACTGGACAGCGAACCGGGCCTGAGAAGCTTTCGTGAGTGGTCGTGTGATACCCAGCAAGAGGGTTGGCATGAGGATAGTTGCTGTCCTGAGAAGGGCTGTTTTGATAGCTGCTCGATCTGCTGATGTTGTTGTTCCCTGCACGCTTGTTCAAGTGGTCCTGTGTGTTGGTGAAGATGTCCTGGTAGGCTCGGGATAAGGCACCGATGGCCTCTTTGGATTGGTTCTCAATCGGGCTGGGTGGTGGTTCATGTTGTGGGGAGGTTTCCATGCCCATGGAGGATTCGTTGAGGCTGTTCATGTAGCTCTGCATCTCATCCAGAAGACGCTGCTTCTCACGTTTAGGGATGCGGCCGAAACGCACAGCTAAGGGTCAGAGAAAGAAAAAACATGAAGTAGAAGCTCTATGGTACAGTTCAAGCTTTTAACTTTATGCTTTTTTTCTCCTTAAATCTACCAAAACAAATGTGAAAACACCCCTGTTTCATACTGTCACAAACATCTAGCAATCCCTTCAATATGGGGCATGCAATTTACTTCTATTTAGAGTCAAGCCGGAAATTATTCATACCTCTGGAAAACTCTGACTTAAAGAGGACCTATTATGCCCCCTTTTGCCCCCAGATATAAAATAAGTCTCTAATGACCATATAGTGTGTATGTAAAGTTTCAGCTCAAAATACCACACAAATAATGTTTTATAACTCTTTGTTAGGCTTTGTAAGAATGGAATCGATCTAAATTACACCAAATCCCAACCTATAAGGTAAACAGCTTGAATTGGATAAATCTAAATTTAAATTGTTATAAATTAAAGTCAGATTAAATTTAAAGCTGGAAACAAATTAAAATAAATTTTAACAAATAAGCATATTTCCTTTCACATGTGCTCAAAAGGTAGTACATGCATTTAACCTTCACCCATGCTGTTAGTTCTGTCATAGGACTAATAAATGGACCATTACAGCTTTGATGCTAATTGTGCCATTTAGGTGACTGTGCCTTTAAACTCAAACGAGATTGTGCTCCCAGTCAACTTTTTTAAAAGAAGGCTACAAATGCCTATATGTCAGCATAGTGGCAGATTCAATAAATAGACCAGCGCCCTATGTTAATGAGGGAGAGATCGTCGCTTATGGGCGGGGCTTTCCCCCTCTGATAAATCAAAGTGTTTCTGCAGACTGTTTTTATCAAGTGGGATCAAAAATTAATAAATGTAACACATTTTTAGCATTAGTAGCTGGTTATATTCACCGACTGTTGCCACACAACTGTGATTAAACCCCTTTAAGAAGTGAATTTTGCATAATAAGTCTCCTTTAAAGTTAGAAATATTTTTACTTAAAGAAATATTTTTTTCCCGCAATGATGCCTCTTGAACATCCTCTTATTATCTTTTGGGTGAAGCCTGTGTCATTTCTGGTCAAAAAAAGAAACTTGCTGGTTGAATAACAGTAACTAAGTCAGAATTTGCCAAGGATATGAGTCATTTTGGGCTAGACTGTATATACAGTGCTCAGCATAATTGAGTACACCCCATTTTGAAAAAGAATATTTTCATCCATTTCTCAGTATACATAGGCAATGTATTTTGATGCATTTAAACAAAACAGGTTTATTAAACATATATATTTATTAAAATATTATTTTAGTCAACAAACATATTTAGGAACTGAAAGACAATGCAATTAAATTCAAGCAAAACATTGGAAATAAATTACAAAATTTCAACAAAATCTTTCCTTTTTTTGCTACTCTTGATTTTTCCTCTTTTTTTAAATTTGTATTTATTTATTTTTTCTCTAACATATAAATTATATGCACAAATATTATATTTTACAGCTTCTAATTAAAAATATGCATTTAAAAGAGAGATTTGTGAGGGGTGTATTTATATATGCTGAGCACTGTACATTGAGTTTTTCAGTGTTGCCAATCACTAACATGTCTGCGAATGCAATGACCAATCAGAATGCACTCATTCATCTTCTGCACACATAATTCCCTCATCATATGAAACATTATAGACACTATACACATAAGAGATGCATTATAGCATCATAAAAGAGCGATATACATGTGGGTACCAGCTTTTTAGTCCAAAACTAAAACACTGAGTCTGATTGTCTTTAATACTATGGCAAAAAAAAACATTTATCAAAGTAACATTCATGTACAAAATAAGAAATAAGATTGACATGAATAAACAAAAATTGAATTTTTCCATCCAAGGTGAACTATTCTTTGAAAACTTTTGTGAGTTTTCATTTCATATTGGTTTTCACGTTGAATTTGACACAAATGAATTGCCTGGTGTGTATTTAAGACATTTTATCTGAACAACAGAAGTTCTGCTCCTTTCTAAAAATACAAAATGTTGTGAAACTGCTGCAATGTTGAATCACTGAGAGAAAGATCCTGCTGGTCAGAAATCCAGAAATGTCCCTGACAAAATGTGTTTTGCAATCGAACACATGACAGTATCAGAAATAACTTTGAATTGAATGATTTTCTGAAAATTGCTTTGGAAGTGGAAAGAAAAACAGCTTTGTTATAGGAGACTGTTTGCAATGCAGTGCTGAAAACGTGCTGAATTTCTAGCCATTGGTCAATGAGTAAAATATGGATGAACATCATAAATGCACGTTTTTTTAGACGCATCTTTCGCATCTTTTATGAGCCCCTCACTCTTTTCTCCAGCACCAGCCCCTCCTCTAAGAAAATCTGTCAGCTGTGGAGTCTAAAAATAGCACCAATGTTACCATATGTTACCTCCCCCCACTCTTCATCACTACCTCCCCTTCCTCTCTTCATCTCTATGCAACTCTCACTCCGCTCTGAAGCTGTAAGTAGGGCAGTGGGTCAGGCAGAACGTGATGACAATGCCACATTAATTGGGTAAGAAACTAATGACTGTGAAAAGGAATGGAAGATGAAGAGAAGGAAGAAAGAAAGAAGAAAGAGTAGAGATGGAACAAATTTTTTGCCACCGAAAATTTAATGGCCGAAAATTTTATGCCATTTAATGAACTCTCAATTTTTTGGGGCTGCAGTCATTATTGCAATACTCTGGAAGCATTAACAACTTATATCAAAATATATATTGTTATCTTTTAATATGGAAAATAATTATTGAGATTGCATTTTTGCCATATCGCCCATTATCGCGCAATATCACCCTAGGGAGAAGGGTGTTGTTCCGTATATCATGAATCATGTCTCATAACACCTGTGTATGAGAAAATGAAATGAGCTATGATTGCATCCTGCAAATAACATGCAATGGTTATGTGCTTTACCCTGCAGCCTGATATATATCTTGCATTGGCAATCCACTGCTGACTTGTCTCGTAACAGGCTTTTGCACTGCAATTCTGAATTAAACCAAAAATTTTTTTTTATTGCTATTCATTTCAAGATTTTAGTGCAGTCTAATATGAGATATCAAACAAAAATGCTAAATTAAACCTAAATCTAAAATGTATTATAAAATGTGTAATTTATTAGCTTTGTTTAGCTTGGTAGAAATGGCAATATTTTGGCAATATTTTGCTACATTCTGTTTTGTTTTTCTTTATTTGTGATGTACTATTAGTATTTGTTTTTCTTTTTGACTATGTAAGCTGTGTACTTTACTAATGTGTATTTTCTTTTTCTTTTCCTTTTGTTGTGAGATCAGGGTATATGCAGGAATCTTGAAGGTAATTTCAATACCTTTTTAAGACTTTTAAAAACTTTCTCAGAATATTTAAGATCTCATCGCCACTTAATCCATATCAAACCCTTAACTTAATAAACAGTTGTTAATAAACAGTTGTAGTTAAATAAATCTGTTGCATGATTGAGCTCCATTGAACTCAGATAAGCTTGCAAGAAACAAAGCTTAAAAGAATAAGCGGGCTTCAAACACTGTTTAAACTAATTTTTCTAACCAGGAGTGCGAAAACTTACATTTTCCCATTTTGCTGTCAGTTTCGCTCTATGATTTTGCTACATGTGAAGAGCGTCACATCACCTTCCCACATTTGTCGAAAATTACGTGACATCACCTGGACGGAGGAGCTTGGCCGGACGCGCTAGGCCCAAACCAATTGCGTGAATCTAGCGTGCCTTTGTTAATATTAGAAGGAATATAAATATATTTATGCTTTTTTGAAGTCGAACACTTTGGACAATACTTAAACAAAATTTAAGACCTCGTAAAAAAGACTTTTGAATTCCGTTTAAGAGCCTTAATTTTCTCTAAACTGATTTAGCAACTTTTAATACTTTTTAAGACCCCGCGGACTCCCGGGAGATAATGTATGAGATGAAGTCATCTAAAAGTGTATAAAAAGAGCAACATGCTGTGATTAAAGCTGCGGTCACACTAAAGTTTAAGCTTGTGAAATTCTATCGTACGATGCTGCGAAAAGGGGCGGGATCAAACAAGATTATTAGACATTTAAAAAATCAAGTGATTGCTCCATATTTTAAATTTCTGTCCAGAGAGGTCATGTTTTGATCCTTGATTGGTCTTACGCAGTCAAGGGATGCGATTTTGCAGGTCAGAGTTCACCACCAAGCGAACTGCAAAACTTGTTGCACGAGCTTACGTTTCCAGTCTGACGCATTTGCTTGCATATGAACGGAGGCCTATGGGGAGAAAAGTCCAGTGTGACCACAGTTTCATACTGTCTGATAAAGAGCCAGTGTGCTAGAAGTGTTTTGTGTTAGCCTTTTTAATTTAATACATTGTTATTTTTAAAGCTTTAGTGTTGCCGCCTTGATGAATATATAATTCATTTGCTTTAAAATACTTTCATTTTTTTAAGTAAATGAAATTTAAGAACTTCAACAATTGTTTACTAGAAGATCAAATTGACAACTTTAAATGTTTGTTTGACAAAACGTTTAAAGTTTAAGAAAAAGTATTTAGTTGCCAAGAATGCCATATCTGTGTTTCTTCCAATTGCATTTAGCAAATTCCACTCTCAGTCATTGTTATAATTTTTACTTCAACTTTAAGTGAGTTGTGGCCAATTCAAATTCCAAAACATAATTTCAGAATTTTACTTGAATTCACTAAAGCATAATGTCTTTAGAAATCTAATGCAAAGACATTTCATCCAGTGCAAAACAATGTGACACAGATAGCTCCAGCTAGAGCGATGCACTGATTACAAGTCTGCGAAATGACAAGATAATAGCGGAAGTGAAACTATGCCGCCTCATCGTGTCAAACCAAACATCTGTTTGTATCACAAAACCAAAATTAAACTACTGATGGCAGTGAAATGAAATGAAATCAGGGCGTCTACTTTATTGTGGCAATTGAGGCAGTTACATGAGGTTTTCCTGTTTGTGCAAGAGAATCTGCCAGAGAAACAGGTTTCTAGGTTGTGGGGCCTTGCACTTTCAGGAACCAAGGTTAAAATGACTGTTTACCTCCCCCGTTTGCACCAAGTGGACTCATTTCATGCTGGTGCCCTCTTAGAACAACATCCAGTGCAATCCGCCATATCAGCCAACCCTACACTTTCACACACACACATCCGCTGGTAACTGTGAAATGCTGCAGAGAGCATAACCATAGTCAAACCCAGCTTAAATAGGTCACCATGTACGAGTGCGATATGGGTGTCAGTTTATTTTGCTAAGTTCCTTCATTTGTTCATCAGATTTATTGTTCTTTCTAGAGTTAAACCACAGCCGAACGCAAACGGATGATGCATTGTGCTTCTAAAGAGTTCAGATGCGTGCCTTTTTCTGCATCCTTTGCTTAATTTTTGCTGCAGCACGACAATAATTGCTGAGGATGTTATAAGGGCACGAGCGTGGTAATCAAGTCGCCCGCGTTCCAATTTCTCAAAATAATTCCTGTATTTGCTGCAGTTTTCCAGATGACAGATAGCTTCAGGGACTGCGTGACTCCATCCCTCATAAATCATTGTCTCTGGGAGGAATCGGGAGGCAGAGCTTAGGGAGCGTGCAAGGGGGAAGGGAAAACCAATAGAGAGAAGGAGGCGAGAAAAAGTAGGGACCACAAAGGGCGAGTGAGATACGGAAATGAGCGCAGTGCCAAACTAAAAGAAACTTGCTCTCTTGAAAGTTACCAACGGTGCAAGACTAAAAGAGGAAAGTAGGTTGAGGGGGCGGGTGTGGTGCTTGGCCTGAAGAATGATATGGAACTACGACTTTTCGCTATTTGTCATATGTCAGTGGCCTGATAACCTCCTAAAAAATGTTCTTACCGTCACGGGACATGCCAACGGACAGGCATTTTTTGAAGCGGCAGTGTTGGCAGCGGTTGCGGTTCATGCGCATTATCAGGCAGTTCTCGTTCTTCACGCACATCTTGTAGTTGATGTTCTGCTGAATGCTGCGGCGGAAAAAGCCCTGCAAAGAATGAAAGGCATTTGATATTTGCTACACTCTAATTTATCCAATAGGGTCATTTTTGCAGCCATGCCATACAATTTTGTTTCCCAAAAGTCCTTTCAATTAACAGTTCTGAAAATAACAGTTTTTTTTCTAAGTGTAAAAAACATTTCAATAATCTAACGCAGGGTTTCTCAACCACGTTTCTGAGGGACCACCAGCACTACACATTATCCATGGCTGTTTCTCATTATGGATTCTTCAGCGTTCTTGTGTTCTCGTGTAACGTCATCATCAATCGTCAAAGTACAATTCCAAAACTCAAGACTGCAAGAACGGAGGATCCATGAAAGTTCCCGAATGTGTTCTTGGTGATAAGAATGCACCAATGCAGACTTGAGCACCGAACTCGCTCTGGAAGTCCCAGAAGTCATTGTAACTGAATAAAGGAGGTGGGAAGTGCAGTATTTTGTATAGATTCATTATTAAAGCTCAGAGATATAACTTATTTATTTCAGGTGTTTCCCTAAATAAGACAATTAAAATCTTATTTAAGGCATAAAAACATTAAGGATGTTTATTTGCTGAAATTTGTATTAAAATCTGTTTTTATAAAAAACCTTAGATGTGGATTAAGGGAAGGTATATGTGTATCTATGTGATTTGTTTATTTTTTCTCTGTATTTGTATTTATTTTATTTATTTATTTTTAGATGTGGATTGTTTTATTTGGGGATTGTTTTGTGAGTTGTTGTAAAATGTAAAATCCTATTTGCAAGAATAAAAACTCCATGACAAAAAAAAAATCTGTTTTATTTGTATTATGCAAAGTATATTTGTACAGTTTTTGTGCATGTTATGTATACTGAATAAAGGAAAAACAATAAATTGTTGTATAAATACTGTAATTTTTAAATAATTGTCTATTAAAAATACGTGACCATCAAGAATAACGCAGCATCTCATTTCTCAGAGGATGCATTCTGTGTTCTTGCTGTCTACCGAGTTTGTATTTCCGAGGTGACCTGGCATAATCGACCTGTCTTCACAAGAACACCCATTCTCTGCGTTCTTGAAATTGAGAGACAGTCCATGTCTCTTTAACCAAACGCACCTGGTTCAGACCATCAGCTCAATAGCAGAGACTGAAAGACCTGTAATGGGTGTGACAGACAAAGGAGACATCCAAAACATGCAGTGCTGGTGGTCCTCCAAGAACATGGTTGAGAAACACTGACCTAAAGCTCATTTTTCTATGGTAAAGAATCTTTAGTGCAATGGAAAGATTAATAAAAGTGCTTCATGAAAGCATCAATGCCAGTACAGAACTTTTATTTTTAAGTTCGATGAATAATTCTTTGGGAAACTAAATTTGGTTCTCTAAAGGCTGCATTTACACTGAATGGTTCAAGTGACTCAATTCCAATTTTTTTTTCTCCTATGTGGCACAGATCAGATATGGCTCATGTACATGCAAGCAGGGAAAAATTACATGGATTATGATTTACTCAAATCAGATTCAGGCCTTGTTCATATGTGGAAATTTATCCGATACGAATCGGATCTGTGTCCTCGTGTCTGCAGTGTTAGCAAGTACATCAGATTTTCACCTGTCAATGCGAGTCGCGCATCATTAAAAACCATGACGTCACTTTGACGCTTTCATTTCGAAACAGAACTCAGCAGAGTCCCAAAACTAAATCTCAGACACAAAGACTAAAAAAGTCTTTATATTGTCATGTAGCACAAGTATTTAGGCATGTTGTGCGCAACATTCACCATGTAACCAATATAAACTAATATAAAACTGTTGCATACACACACACATGCATAAATCATGCCATGGACATCACATTAAGATGCCTACTGGTTTAAAAAAGACCTAGATTGAAAGAAGATGGCAAAATGAGAACGTTTCTGTCATAAACTATGGTAAAACAACTTGGCGAAAAGAATTTAAAAAATGAAACCCCATGAACAGATTAAAATGAGCGCTTTTTTATTTTCAGTGGTAAGTCAGCGCCTGCTCTTTTTTCATGGTCATTGCACCTTTGCCGTGTGCTGTGTAAATGCAGACAATCGGATCTGAGTCTCTTTTAAAAGATGATGTAAGCAGGTCAGCAAAAAAATTGGAATTGACCATCAAAATTTGCAGTGTAAATGCAGCCTAAGTTTTTGTTTTTATAACAAAATAGGTCTATAGTCTCTTGTTTATGGCAAACCAATGTCTTTAGCAAATGCCCATAAGAAACTCAGTTGAACCAATCAGTGATTGATTTGCATGACCAACTTGAGAAACATTTGAGCTTGAGAAGCTTTTTCGGCCTCTTGTGAAACTCATGCAGTTTTCTATTGAAATGACTGGATTCTGCTTTTGTACTTTTGGCATGTTACAGTGAAAGTGACCACACCGCACAGAAAAAAAGGTTCTTGTATAAGAACAGGTCACCTAAATGTTCAGTGGGCAACCAAAACTAATCTTGGCATTGTTGCAACATTTTTATTGTTAAAAGTAAATTATTTAGTATTTATTAATAGTAGAAGTTCTGTCTTACCTTGCAGCCTTCACATGCATGGACACCATAGTGGAACCCTGATGCAATATCTCCACATACTTTACAAAGGAGCACCATGCCTCCCGTCTCTGCTCGGATAAAGATAGAAACAGAGCAAAAACAGGGTCAGGACGTACAAAGAACACCGGAAGATGCCCTTAATATTAGGGACTCGTTGTTCCTTGGTGAAAGAAGATGCTGACTTTGTGTGTTTCAGATGCTAAGTAGGGAACCCACTTACTGGTAAATGTGCCAGTGAATCCACAAGGCCTTTTACCGGCGATAGGGTGGGAGTAGCTGTGCGGGTTTGGACCTGCTGTGGAGTTGTTGTAGATTTCAGGGAACTGAAAGACCAGTTTTGGAGAATTTGGTGATCCAGCATTTCCCTGCTGCTTGAAGGCCCCGATCTCGGTGAAGGTCACCTCCTCTGGGGAAGAAGGCTGGGAGTGAGAGGATGGAGACTGGGTTTGATAACCACTTGAAGGGCTTCCTGGACTTGGACTGGAACTGCCACTGGAACCAGCGTAGAGAATCACGCTCCCTGTAGAAACACAAAGCATATACAGTTGAAGAGATTTTTTTTACTTATATATTTTCCAAATGATGTTTAACAGAGCAAGGAATTTTTCACTGTATTTCCTATAATATTTTTTCTTCATGTAAAAAAAAATCTTATTTTTTATTTTGGCTAGAATAAAAGCAGCTTTGAATTGTTTTTAATCCATTTTAGGTCAATATTATTAGCCCTCTCAAGCAATATTTTTTAGATTGTATACAAAAAAATAAAAAATTATGAAATGACTTGCCTAAATAACCTAGTTCAGCCTTCGAATGTCATTTTAAGCTGAATACGAGTATCCTGAAAAATATCTAGTAAAATATTATGTACTGTCATCATGGCAAAGATAAAAGAAATCAAATATTAGAAATTCAATCAATTATTCATTTTCCTTTGGCTTAGTCCCTTTATTAATCTGGAGTCGAAGGTTAGGACTACGACAACCCGATCATCCGGCATAGAAACTGGCTCTAGGGACATTGGGAATATAATTCATACTATAATATCCAATAACAATTCAGTAGGGCTTGTTCTGACTTTGTCTTCAAATAGCCATGATATGAAGTCTTAAATTATTTTCCAGAGTTCATTATTTCCTATTTGGCTTAGAAATAAGTCGAATGCTTGGTTCACTGCTAATGGCCTTACTGTCAGTGTTTTAATTGGTTCTCAAATCTTCACAAAGTGGTCTTGTAAAACAGACTTCCAAAATGCATATTAGTACTGCCCTTAACCACTTGCTCAGTTGTCAAGTATGGAACGTTGTTTCTTACCGCAGGCTTCATTAGCAGTCATTTATGAGCACTGTTTGTTCATATCATCATTGTTTGTTGCAGAAAAGGTACAGTAATGTGTGACTTCAGACTTATGTGGATTGCAGGATTGTAGTGGTGCTATATATAGAGTGCTGCAGCTGTGATGTCAAATCCTGGGAAAACGAATTTGCTGCTGGTTCCCATGAGATGTAACTAAAGGTTTTTATAATGGGCTTTGTGATTCATGAGTAAAATAAGGTCTGCGGTAAACATAACTTGATGATATTGGATGTTTTACTGTATAGCACAAACTGCACACTCACACGTCTTTATGTAGTAACTGGTTAGAGAAGTTTTTCTAAACTTTTAAAGTATTTTAATTATGGGTGCTTGTAATCCATGCTTAAAGCAAAACATCCCTGTATCTCTACACACTACATATCCATAAACTTACAAAAAAAAGCAAACAAAGAAAAAGCACCCATAAGAAATCTTGTGGGAACCACAGATGAATTGTTTTGTTTGGTAGAGACCCAAAATATCAATTTTTTTTTGTTCCTGGCATTCACACTGTAATTTTAGTCCAAACCTAAAGTTACAAAATGAACCAAAATACGTGTTTTAGGGTATATTTTGAGTTGAAACTTATCAGCACCCAAAACATTGCTGTGTGCCGGGCTGAATGTGCTGGTTGTTATGGTGTTTAAGAGCATGTTAATAGCTGATACAATTAAAGGAGTTAAAGAAGTGCCAAAAATGAATCTGTCACACAGACAAAGGAAGATCTGCTGCATGAAAATGCGCCAGCATTTGCAATGTGCAACTCCGTGACTATGGTAAGATAAAAACAGGTATGCTTGAGCATTCAGTCCTTTTTATGGTCACATCTTGAAAAATCATGTCCTGTTTGGGATTAATTTAGATGTCTTTTATATGTGTTGCATTCATATTTCAGCACTAGAGTTCATCTGGAAGTGGTCTCAGTCCACTTGGTGTGCACCAGCATTCACACTTGCTCAATTCAACCGCATTAACAGAACTGTCAGGTTTTGACGTGAAAGCTGAGCGGATTTTTGGTCCTCTGATCTATTCAGTCCGATTCGTTCGCCCCAGTTGGTCTAAGCTATAGTCTGTTGTTTTAAAATGCAGATAATGCTACGGCGTAGCGTTTGTTTGTTATTTGTAGGTAATTAAATACGTAATGCATTATACACACGCTTACAGCGCCTTAAAGAAGGTGATGTAATTCTCCGACTGACTGGGAGAGAGTGATTGAAGTTTCTCACGCGCTAAAAATAACGACGTCTGCACAGCAACATCGCGACGTTTCACATCAAGTGAAAAAAGAAAAACACGTTGACTGGTTTACTTGTATAGTCACGCGTATATTTCAAAATAAAACTTCGGCTTGTTTTATTTACATTCCCCCGCAGGTTTTTCTTATTCTCCTTTCGGGTGTTTGCATCCTATCTATCGCATCCTCTCCGGTCATGCGCTCGGGATGAGCTGAGACACGGTCTCACGTGTTCGCGAGCTCTCCCGCCTCTTCTCTCCAATAATAGCCCTGGCATAGTGCCCCAGCCAAACTGCACAACACCTGACCGCTGCCTCACATGGATTCCTGACACCGTTCCTGCCCAAACTAAATCCGCAGTCTCGTGTAAACAGCTACAACAATCGCGAGTCGCGAGCACGGGGGCGCGCGCCGGAGGATGCCGTGTCGGCTTAGTGATGATGCTACGGTTCCCACACAGATGCATTTCCTGTGAGAGAGGGGCAACGAGTTGTCACGTTTTGTTAGAATGTGCCGCGTGGCTTTCAGTTTGACTTTTTAAACAACCCGAGGACACAGCCGGTCAGATCGGGGCCAAGAGAATGCGATATAAACGGCAGTGTCCAAAATGTTTGGAATCAATTGCACTGTGTGTTCATTAACCAATGCAAATAGTAAAGCAGTGGCTTTGAACAGGCAAACTGTTTTATTGAAACTTTACTAATGGCTTCTTGTTTGTACAAACAATTATATTTTACAGTATGCCAGCAATTAAGTGGTTACCTACTTTCTAAGAGTGAAAAACAAAACAAAACATGATATTATGATTCTTAGATAAGGGGAATTTTAGCTAATTTGTCATCTTTTGGGGGGAATAAGTCATATCATGTTGCTTAAAAGCAACAAGACATATGTCCTCAACATTCTGAAAGATTTGAGGTTACATTAATTTGCAGGTTGCATATAAAATTTTGAATAACTTCCAACGCTAAATGGCCTGGCAAACATATATATTGATTCACACAGCTGCAGAAAAAAATTTGGCAGTTGGCCTAAAAACAGGAATTTTGTAAACATTTAATATTGATGTTTTTGCTGGTTCATTACAGGGTGTTTGATTTGATGGCTTACAAGCTTTCATTTGGAATTTAATTTCATTTTCTATTTAATAGGAACTCAGTTCTTCATTAAATAAATATAGATTTTAAAAAATGTGTAAAAGAGTAACTGTGAATTTCTAGCACACAGGGTAAATAAATAAAAAAACGGAACCCACTTCTAATAAAATGCATAAGTAGTAAAAATATGGAATATAAAAAATAGAAAGATCAGTTCACAGCATTTTATTATTGAATAGACAAAATTTTATCAAACTATTTTCAGGGTAATAAACAACTTATTTTAAAAACATATTATTATTATCATTATTATATTTGTTCAACTTTAAAGTGGATGATTTTCTTATGTGAGATACAAAATTAGACATCTAACTGAATGTTCAAGCTGTTATTTCTTGCAACCAAACCCTACAGAGGCCATGGCTTTTTTTTTTTTTTTTTAGCTTCCATTCACTTTCATTTCATGATATTTCTCAAGGGCGCAGATTTAGCATGGACCGAGGGGCTGCGTCCCCACCAATATTCACTGACTACTGAAATGTCCCCACCAATAATTGAATTTGCACTGTCAATATTAAAATAGACATGCAGAAAGGGTTAAATCACATTTTTTATTAATACCTATATATATATATATATATATATATATATATATATATATATATATATATATATATATATATATATGAGACATGTTTCAGTTGCACTATATGGCTAAAATAAACACAAGTCTTTATTAAACTCTCTCTTTATTTAATAAACATTCCTTTAACATTACTCTTTCATTTAATAAATTGTATGAAGAGAGGATTAATTAATAATAAATTTAACGAGGCACTATTATTATTATATAATTTGGGGGTATTATTATATAATTTGGGGGTTGAATTCACCAGTCCCCACCAATGAAAAGAGCATACGCACTTGATATTTCTGATATATCTCAACCTAAAACAGTGTTTTTAGGTAAACTATGCCCTTTAACACTGGCAATAAGCTAACTATTTCCTCTTCACCCTGTTTTCTGTCCACACCTTATTTGGATACAATCATGGGTAAACAAGTTCAAACTACCACCAGATATCTCCTTTGTGTGTGTTTTCTCATGCTCCACGCGGTATTTATTTAGCTCAAGTGTTTTCATGATCCCTCCACTGGCACGTGCAGTGGGACTTACTATTGACATACTGCTACACTGGATTTTACAGCCTTGTGATAGTGAGCCCTACCTGAGCTTGCTACTCAGCCCTGCCCAGCTTAGTAACCCCACCCACATGCACAAAAACACTCACACCTGGACACACATGTGAGGCCACAGAGGTTAAATAGACAATTGAGGATAATAAGACATGCCTATTAATACAAGAATGCATAGTGTCTGAGCTGTTTTTAGCAGCATGGTTTCAGAATATAAAGCTTTAATTACATTAAAGATGTGATGATGTTTTCTTTGTCCTGCCCCACCCTCCTAAAAATAACCAGCTCTTAATGCCATAGGGAGAATGCTATTGCTATGCAAGCCTGTATAAATTGGGGTCAGTGAAAACACCAGCATAAGTTGAAGAATCAGCAGGTCTCGGGCAGCTATTTGTGAGCTTAAGCAACCCATGCGAACGCTAATCTGCTAGTGAGCAAAGGCAGGCGTAGAAACGTGAGGACTTTGCAGGGACAATAATTCCCTCTCGTGCACTGGTGTGGTCTCCCTCCCTCCCTTGAGGAAAGTAGCTGAAATACTCTGCATGACCACTGTCTTGTGCACTTGATGCAGCATCTCAAAGGCAAAATTGTCATTGAGAAGTAAGATTTGTTAAATATTTGCATGCTTTCTGATGCATAAGTCTGGTGAATTCATAAACTAATTTCGAGAGGATCCCGTGCTTATCAACACGTCTGGCTCCTCATTAGCTCCATAATCTGCCCTATTAGATGATTACTGACGCATTATAAATAACCAAAGTTTTTCACTCCAGTTATCTTCGTCTTGAAGCTTTCCCCCTTCCACCCCTACTCCCCCCCCTTTTCCGATAGGGCAACACGGTGGCCTAGTGACTAGCACTGTTGCCTCACAGCAAGAACACCGCTTGTTCAACCTCCTATCGGGCTGGTCGGTGTTTCTGTGCTGAGTTTACATGTTCTCCCTGTGTTTGTGTGGATTTCCCCCGGGTTCCCCGGTTTCCTCCCACCGTCCAAAAACATAAACCATAGCCAATCGACTAAACCAAATTATCACCTAAGACAACCCTAGTTTACACTTCTCACACGGCGACAAGCAGGGGGGTTCTCGAGAACCTCCTGAGCTCGAACTCCCTTCTCGCCCTTCTAACGGGAGAGAGCCCCGGACTCAAGGATATTATATTGATTATCAGCTAAGTGTAAACTCTTGAATGTCATATATGATATATATAAGTTTTGAAATCAGTGAAAAGTCAGTCTTCATGCTCCAGACTGAAGGGAACAGGATTAATAATGGCTATCATTGTCAGTTTTTTTTTTTCATTTTAATTTAGATCTCAGCTTGAGATCGTCAGGAGCCACATTACTTTTGTTTTTGACTTTCAGAATTGTAGTTTTTAATGCATAAAGTCTTTAATGTTCGACTGAAGAATGAAAGTCATCATGGATGACCAGAGGGGAAATAAATCAACAGCATTATTTGTGGATGAACCACCCCTTTATGTACACTATAAAACATTGAGTTATTTATTTCACCCAATGTTTAAGTAAAAAAATATTTGGTGCTTTGTTTGGTTATTTTTTAACCTTTATTTGGTTATTTATTTAATAACTCAACCAATTGGGGTTAGAATTTTGGAATTTCAACAGTAAACTCATTTAACTGACTCAGAAAAGCTGCATTTATATGCATATGTAATGTTGTTTTTCCCTTAGAAAGTTTATTTAAGCTCTAACGCAATAATGCAATTTTATTTTATAAAATTAAAATGTAATGGAAATAAAGTAGTTTTAATATTTTTGAAAATTACATATTATTTATTTACACAGCCATAATTATACAATTAACAGTAGTACTAGTAATAGTAGCAACAGTAATACCAGAATTTAAAAAATAGCATTTAATCAAAATAAAAATTTTACCCAATGCATTGGGTTAAAATAACTCATAGCTGGGGGAATG